GTAAATTTAACATGTACTGTACCTAATGGTAAAAGGTTTCTAAATTTAGGCCATGTGTGAAACATTTATTTTCGTACACAGCTAGCTATTTTTAAAGACTGCTCACACTACAGCATTTTACTACACACAGGAAAATGCCATCTGCTTAGATTTATTCCAGGATATAATCTGGCAGGATAAAACGTTTACTAGAATTTGGATAACCATAAAAAGAAAGAGCAAAATGTAATTATGAAATTAGGAGAGTCCTGATTTTACCCTTTTTAGCCAAAACAATTACAAATAATGATGTAGTGTGAACATTCATTTAAAATGCTTATGAAAATGTAACATATTGATAGTGAAAATATAATAGATATAAAGTTTTAAGTGTAATAGAAGCACTGACACTTCATAATGACTATTAATTCCTACCCAGCTGTCGTTCTGTGCTTTGTGCGAGCAACTTATGCTTTGATTTAAAGCTTTTTTTTTTAAAGGAGACCATTCTATGATATTTAGTCACATCATGGGAAACTCTATCAAATTATTTTACAGTAGCAAATTACAGATGCTGCGTAACTGCTTCAATAAAACATTAATGCAAGTACTCCACTCACATTTCTGTGACAGAGATGAACAAGGTGTTAATTCTGAGGTGAGCCTTGCGATGAAGTCTTTTCGCTGTGCTCACATGAATCCCCTGTGGCTCCAAAGCTAAGTGTCTGTGTTTGTGCTCTGGGGGCATGGATCTGTATGTACCTTTTTCTGCATCAGTCTTAGCTCATCACTCAGGTTGCTGTTCACTTTCATGAGCTGCTGAATCTTGGCTTCTGACGCTGTTAGTGCGCTTTTAACTTCCATGAATTCCTGCACCGTGATCGGTCCGTCTGACAAGTCTGAATCCACGCTCTGCAAAAAGAGCACATTGAGCCTGTCACTGCTGAGGGAAAAAAAAATCACTGCAGCCATTCAGTAGTGGCTGCATTTACTTCCAGCATTGAAGGCCTTTACAAGCAAGTATACTTAGAGCTTCTAAAATGCTTCTAAAAGAACACCAATAAGTCCGAAAGAGTAAGGCCTGTGAGATCATTTCAACACACTGACTTCTGACACCTACACTTTAAACTTTCATCTTGTCATGTGTTTCTATTTAACTGGTACAAAAACAGATCCTATAAATATCTGCATGATGTTTAGTGACTTCTCTGCTTCTCTGCACTTGAGCCTCAGTGAAGGGACATGTGAAAACAGCAAAAGGACATTTACAAGTGCACAGTTTCATGCGTACGATTCAAAAAGAAATGCCAAACATGCACGTTTACAGATCTTGTCTCCACACGTGGTGTCACACATGTGTTACCTTTGTCCGGTCTCCTTTAGCAGAAGGTGGCTCCTGGTCTGTATCTTCGTCAGACGCAACGCTGTCATAATCCGGCTGGTCATTGTCTTGGCTTTCACTTCCATGCCGACTGTTTATATTTTTAAGGATCAGCTCCACATTTTCTACAACAGAGGCAAACCAAACACAGAAAACCATTTAGCGCTTCGAGAGATTCACAATGGGTTTTCCAGGTCAAAATCTCTGGCAGGTCCAATAATTCAGATAATCACTTAATACAAGAATTAGGAAAAACAGATTGCTCACAAATGATTTCCTTTAAACTGCATCTGACTAAGTACTCATTTGTACCTTTCGGACTTGCAACAGAACTTCCTTGCTGTCGACGCTTCGCATCGCTTAAGATGTCAATCACAAGCGTTGCAAATTCATGAGCATTAAATCTTGCAAGCTTCTGTCTTCCCTGGGAAAAGAACGAAATTGAAACTACAGAATTTCTGCAAAATTAACACAATCAACTTTACAGAATAAAACACATTTCCAAACCATGGAATAAAAAACTAAAAACCAATTCTTCTGAAAAAATACACCTCAATAAACACTGAGGCATGTGTTGCTTTCCTCAGAGTTAGAATATATACATTTAATAACTTTATCAAAATAATTTTTATAACATATTCAGATACAGATCTGTATAAGAAAATTAGTTTTTCAAATATAATAGTGACCAATCATTGTCGAAATATTTGGCTAAGACAATGATTAACACACTGCCACCTAGTGGCTTCATTGTTAAATTTAAATCAGAATGCCAGTCAAGTTTAAACTTAACACATTATCCCTAACATTATACATTTTAAGCACCAGACTTTCTTCTTTTCAGATAAAAAGATAGATATTTGCCCATTTCCCAAGTCTGCTACTGAAAAGCAATACAATTTCCATCTGCATGGGCAGGTTTGATTCTCTTATTCTGTTAGGACACTCCACCTATTCATAAAATGTATGTGGCTGCAAAGACTTGCCTGGTTTCTTGTTGATGAATACTCTGGGTTCACAGGTAGGAAAGGCACAACTGTAGTCTCGGTTACCAGGGTACTATGGTTTTGAGTTGCTAGCCACACTGTAAATATTAGAAAAACACTTCTGGGTGAACAAATGTTGCCTACCCACATAAGCATCACAGAGCAAAACTCAAAATCAATTAACTTTATAGCACGCCTTACTTTGGAAACTGGACAGTACGTCTTATAAAAACATACATTATAGATGGGTAAAAGATAGACTTAATTGGAACTAGATTAATTCTTCAAACATTGCCTTATTCCATCCAGGTGGATGCTGCACATTGGTGGTGGTGGTGGTGGAGGGGAGTCCCCATTACCTGTAAAGCGCTTTGAGTGGAGTGTCCAAAAAAGTGCTATATAAGTGTAAGCAATTATTATTATTATTATTATTATAATTATTATTTGGTCATTTAAGATTTAAATGGTCTTTATTTACAGCTACATTCATTATGACTCACCTGCATCGGTTTCTCTTCTATCAACCTCATCGTACACATCCATTGCTAATTCTTCAAACAAATGATTACTGAGCTGAAAAGTTTAATGAAAGAAACGAATCAATAGCTCATCCCTCAAACTCACTGTTCTCGTATCAGTCAGGCTCGGTATAAATTCTCATCATTCACCTCCAAAATTTTAAAATCTTGAGTTGATTTTTATTTTTAGGTTATTTTTTGTAAATCTGTGTCCATATCAATATTACTGGACAAATGGGCATGAAGACAAAACAAACCCTGCCTCCGTGAAACATGCATAGATGTTTCATGATTGAGATACTTATTTTGTATTTCAAAGGCTTCCATGAGACATTTGCTTTGAGCTAAGAAACTAAAATAAGTTTATACTTAACAGTGTACTGTGCCAAGCCATGGAAGGGCAGCGCTCACTACAATATTATTCCACATCTATGATGTGTGCAAGTTAAAGAAATAAAGAAACTTACAGACTGGAGCTTTTTCTTTGCTGCTTTCGCTAACTCTGATAAATCCAGACTGCTATTGAAACAAGAAATACCATTTTTAATTTGAGTTCTCAATTAAAGAGAAACCTAATCCAAAGATCTCAAGTCTGCCTTGAGAGTAACTAAAGTACTTACACATGCCTTATCCATAAACAAAGAGCAGCAAAAAGGAAAGAATAATAAGACATTTTTAAAAGTTAAAACCCACAAAGGCTGCAACATTTAAATTAGGCCAAATATAAGGTTTAGATTAACTTTATGGTCTAAACTTAAAATCATGGTCTCTTTGATTTAATCTAGAGTTTGAAAAAAAACTGAATTTACAATATTCATTATTTTCATGTATTTTTCTCTCTTCAGAGCATGTAATGCTCTGCACTTAATGCATCTCAAGTTTAGCTGTTTTAGACTCTAATCCCATGAATTGAAATGAGAATCTCAAGACCTAGCAGTACAGTAATGACATAAAAGTTATCGGTTCTTTCCTGGTTAAGGTTCGTGAGGAAGCAGAGCTTTTAAGCAAAGTACAGTTTTCTGCCCCACCACCGGAACATCAGAAGATGCAAAGCGAAGTGCATAATCAAAAAAGCAGAACTAATTCTCTGCTGCGGTACATCAAAGGTGAACAAAACCCCCTCTCGCTGAGAGATTGTTCTGCATCGTTTCTCTCAAGTGGAAGACGGGACAATCTCTGACCCTGGGGCAAGTACAGGCAGGTAGCCATGTCTGAGGTGCCACTCGCATTCTGAGTCATGTATCAGACAGCCAACGACGCCAACTTGTTATACAAACACTTTGTTAAACAACAATTCTAGAACAACTCAGACATAACTTTGATCTAACACCACAGCCAATGAATTATCCACCTGATGTAGCTTTTATGCACTGTCGCAAGAACGTATGCTACGTTTATTGCATCGTTTTTTGTATTACCTGTCTGCCATTTGAGGAATTATGAAGTGCTGTCCATTTTTGTGATCTGAAAGGCAAAGCATTTAGAATCAAAGTAGGCAACCAGATGAGAAAGAGAAGTGAAATGAAGGTGTCAGTGTAGGTTTTGTGTCATGCTTCCCCACTTACCTGGCTTTCTGCCGCAGAGGTAAAATGCTAGCCTGTCAGTGAGTTCATACTGAATTTCCACCAACCGATCTGCTAGGTCATGGTGCCCAGCTTGCCTTAAAAAAAGAAGCAGTTTAGTTCTTAAGAGAAATCAACATAGCTTTCATTACTCACAACTTCAATGCGTGTCACTCACAACCTACAACCTCCAATTCAATTGCTATAAGAAAGCAATAAACAGAGACTCATTTACCTTGCACAATCAATAGGCGTTTTCCCATTAGCATCAGGTGCCCCAGGATCTGCCCCATATACAGTGAGTAGCTCCACTTGAGAAACCTGCCCAGCCTTTGCTGCAACGTGGAGAGGGGTGTTCCCCTTTTCCTGAGCAAGGACCAGACATGTGTGTGAAATCAAACTATTCATGGAACTCATCCACCTTCCACTTAACAGACTGGTTTATCACTGAACTTCAAAAGATCCAGTATTAACACACCGCAGATATATAGTGAGCATCAAAAGAAATTTCTCACTTACAACTGGGACAAGTTATTATCAGGAAAATAATCTTTCTTTGGAAGGGTACTCCAACACTTTAATGAACAGACAGAAAATTGGTAAATTAATTATGCCGATTAATATTTATCATCAATTGGCTTGATCAACATAAGGTCTGCTGTGAAAAGTATAAGCTAGTGGCATATGTGGCCACAGTTAGAAGCAGTTCAAGCTGTACATCTGTGATGCATGTTTTTCAGATTGCAGACGGTGTCTTGTGGGATTCTGTCCCATTCCTATTGTACAGTACGAGCAAGCATGTCTCGTACTGTCTGTATGGTATGCTCTCTGAGCCCTAGATGCCACGCATCCTCCCAACTCATCTCATTAAAATGATCACGGGGTTTATAGCTGCAGAAATTGGACATTTATAAACACAACTGACAGATTCTCATCTTAAAAGAAAAGCATTGTTAAACAAGCAACATGAAGCTGTGCATTGTTTTCCTAGACAGCTGACATGTCAAAATGAGCCTACAAGAAGGAAATCAAGTGAGAGTTCAGATCTTGACCAATATAGCGCCTTGCAGTTAAGATGCCACCATGCACTAAAAGTTGGTGTCACGCTCGCTGACGTCCACCAGGATGGTCTACTGCTGGCCAAGTCCACTTGGTGTTGGTTTAGCCCAAAGACTAATATACGTATAGCACCAAGTTGTTCTCTTGATAAGCACGACACAACGTTTTCTTCATGTGTCTTTCTTCAGCTTCCTTGACATTCAACAGGTTAAAACACCTCATCATCTGTGCTCAGTCAACCCACTCAACAATGAGATGACTTATTGTCTGTGTAACAGTAAAAGAACTCGAGTATACCCCAATCAGTCACGTTCAATCCATTAAATATCCCTGATGTCTTTTCAATTCATATCCAAAATTCTAATTCACATTTATCTATCCAAAACTATTCGTCTAGAAACATACATGCAGAATGAAACATTTATTTTTCATCGTCCACTTCCTGCTGAGTTTTAATACAAAGAACACAGCAGTATTTTTACACATTTGATCAAATTAAAGGAGTTGGAAATAAATGAAACTATAAATTAAAATATCTATGGGTCAGTATGTCCTTAAAACAACCCAGATTTCATTTTATCTTAACCTTGTTCTAACATATCTAACAGATTTTGTTTCTGTAACAGATTTCACTTACGGGGTGGAAAAAATTGGCCTGGGCTCCAAGTGACAGCAACCTTAGACAGGTTTCCAGATTCCCAGTCCGCACACTTGAGTGCAGTTGCTAAAATGGAGAACAAAAGCAGGTCAATTATGAAATTTGACCCATTTTTTACAAACAGACACTATCCCCATTTGTGTTGTATGGTTCATAGGATCTTATCAGCTTTGCCAAAGACATTTAAAAGTAAAATTAAAAAGACTCATAACATGTTAGGAGAGCTAGCTTTCACAGAGTTGTTTTATCATTTTTTTACATTATAACGCTTTTATGCAATACTAAAATGACTGAAACAAGGGTACTGATTGATGGGTAAGCTGCATGTTGTTTCAGCGTAAAGGACTGCAGGACACTCTACTGGAGTGCAGACAGTACAGTGACTGCTGGCCTCAGGATCTGGGCACTGCAAGCACAGCGGACAGCTACAACACGTCCATTCCCCAGCTCTTTGGGTCTCTTACCTTGCTCAGATCCTTTGCGGTGACGCTGTCGTCCTCTCGGCACGGCATTCGGTGGACAAAAGCCAGCATCTGATATTTGGCTTTTATAAACTCGGTTTTATTCGGGCTGGGAAAAGCAGGAAAGAACGCACAGGGGTGAGGACGCGGTAAATCTCGAACACGACAATACGCATCCATGTCTTCATCCTGCTCTTATCCCTTCACCAGTTTTGTGTATGGAGATCATACTTTTGTTTTAAATTCAGAACCTTTAAAACCAGTGATACTAACAAACACATACACTGGCAAGGTAATACACGTGGACAACACGTTCAAAGACATAAGCACTCACAACAGTTTATCCTGAGGGTTGGCTTTCCGTTTGCCACTCATTATAGACGCAGGATCCAGCAGAGAGTGCTCCCATATTGAGTTTGCACCATTGTTGTACAGCGTCTGAACCATCTGAAAATAAATAACAGATATAAACCGACACTACTTTTATTACCGTTTATCAATATCCTGAAAAGATTATAAATGGATTATAAAGGTGTAATTCCAAGATATACTTAAAATATCTCCTTAATATACAGTATGGTCACTATTTGAAGTCAGTACAGTATAAGCATTTACATTTTTTTATCCATGCATCCAATGATTAAATTGGATTTATCCCAATCAAATTTCCTCGCTAGCACGTTCTACTTATCTGTCACTTTATCTAAAAACCATCATAGGAAGTGAGAGCTGAGAACATAAACCTCCTGGAAATGTCGGTATCACACATCATGTCTGTAAATCAGCGATATCAAGTGGAGCTATTTCAGCACATGGCAGCAGGGATACCGATAACTGCAGAAGCATCTACATTCCAAACAGATCTGGTGACTCTGTGCGCTAACCCTTGAGGCTTTCTTGAAAGGCATTATACGATGCTAATGGGGTGGATATTCTGATGACCCACCCCAGGACATATTAAATTCAACCCATCTCATCTCGCGGGGGAGGAAAAGGATTATGAAACCTGATCATTCTGCATTCTTAAATGTATTACTTGAGGGTAGCTGTTTTTTTTTTTTAAGTACGGGATATTAGATTTGAGCTGTAAAGCTATATCAGGAGAGTGACAGAATTTTTTTAAATAAAAGCCGTGAATGTCTCAGGTCTATAAAGGAGTCGGTAAGTGTCTGATTTGAACTTAATAAAGAAATTGAGTTATTCTGCTCATGGAAGAGGCAGACCGGACCTGGAGCTGGGTGGGCGGCCATGGGGTGTGTGTCAGATGTCGCACTTGTGAGCTGTGGCGGCCTAAACTTCTATGTACGCTGCAGCACTCGTCGCAGATCAACACTCCTCGGTTGACAGAAGCCCAGCGAGGGTCTGAAAAAACAGGAAGGAAGACATGCGTTAAAGGCCCATCCTCCACCGCTGTGAGGAAAAATGAACTGACTGCCACCCCGGGCCCCGAACCGCGTCCGTCTTTTTAAGAGCTCCAGCTCCGTGCGTCTCCACCTGACCTATTCAGCACGGTCTGCTGTGACAATCACTCCCTTCTCACGTTTTCCCCTCTGCAATCAGTGGAGCAGACACCTGCGAGGACATGAAGCGGGCGTCCGTGCAATTCACCAGCGCACCAGGAGCTACCAACACGACAGGACCAGCAGCAAGAGCCGGGGAATGTCGGCTAAGAATAAACTGAAAAGTTTCCAGTCTTAATGGCAAGTGAAGCGTCACGAGTCTAGAAAACTTTAAAAGCAATGCACAGATTCTGAAGGCTCGTCTCTCCACCCACGCCCTCTTTGACATTTTCACAAAAGCCATTCTGCTGTTTCCTCTTCCTCTTCCTCTGGGCTAAACTACTGTACAAGTGCATTTGCAAGCAAAGCCAAGTCACCCTCTTGAGGTGCAGCCACGTTCGTCTGCCTCTTCCTGGCAGATGTACTGGGACAGATGTCCCTCTACAGATAAAAACACTGTAGGCAGATATACGGCAGAAGATAGCAGGATTCAGACCTCAACATTATTACGGTACAGAAAGAATGGCAAGCCATTTTGAAACTAAGCTTTAAACCAATATGTAAAGTCAAACATGTTGCTGAATTTCACCTTAACTGATATTACGAATATAAATAAGAATATCTGCCACGTTTGGGGAAAACTCTCTAATCATACTTTTAAAACATAAACAGAATATTTCAGCGTTGTAACGCCGAATAATTTTAAAAAAAAACAGTTCTAAGGCTCACAATTTTTATAAAAGACTGTAAATGTTAATCGATAACCGAAATGTCAAATGTTCAAATTAATATTCTCCATCTGTGTATTAATTTATATTACATATTCAGAACTACATTGATTTAACTTTGAAAACACAAAAAACAAAGCAGCTGCTTATATGGTTTTCTGGCACATTACCGTAGTTTACTATACTTGAAAACCTTCTGTTGTGCTTACTCACAAGTGCAATGGATGCGATAAAGGCATATAAATGACAGACAGGCTAACAAACACTGGGGATCTAACGTCTGATCTCAATGTGCCTGAGTTACAGTACATCCATGACCTACAGAAAAAAAACACTTTCTTTCCAATTCCTCAGAAGTTAGCAAGAACAGGTTATTTGTGAACACTAAAGACCAGCAGTGTCAGCAGTCAGCAGTCCTCTGCAGAATCCATCTGCAATTGTCAAGCTTTGAGAAGCAGTTTGATACACAAATGAAAAGTTACTTTCTCCACTACTGCTTGGCGTTAGAATGTTGCAAATTATACAGATCACATTATTTAAAGAAAAACTACTAACTGTAAAATGGGAAGACATAAATACCCCCAAATACCTAAAACATGGTACCAAACCCATCAACAGTTGTCTTTACATTCAAAATGATATTGGGTAACAGTGCAGTGGGGAAGTAGAAGAACACAGATCCTTATACGGCCACAATTATGACAGATTAGAATCACATCATTCGTGACACATTACAAAGCAAGGCAATGGCTTCCCTTTTCACAGCTCCCCACTGAAACAGGGTACTGCACACTCCTCCAGCACTGGGAAATACAATAGTTCAGCAACATTCAGAAGCCTCCGCAGTTAAAACATTGAGTAACAGAATTACTCATCGATGTTAGTCTTTAGGACCTGTCTGAGAAAGTTAAAGGCCTGGAGTCGTGAACAGTAAAATAAACAGGTGTCTTTTTGAATCAAATAGGTTATATTTAGTAAAACACTTTCATCCAGAGGTGTTGGTAAATTTGGTTGTTTGAAGCTAGAAATGCAGTTTTCTAAGGGCTGGACATGTGTAAGGTACCAAGGCCTTTAGAAAACAAAAATCTACTGGAAAAAGAAGGAGTACAAATATGTCAAATTCAGCTATTCCTAGCACTAAAGATATATGTTTGGATAATACCGTACATGCTTCAAATTCTTTCCCCGAAGTTCGTTGCTTTTCTTTTACTAATGTGGTCACATGAAACAAGAACCACAATTGGGTATATTGTATATTTTTACACCCTACAGCAGAAATCCGTAGATTGAAGGAAAATGAAAAGACGAACAATTAATCCTGACTGGCGCACCTTGTACACACACAAAATTGTATATGCAAAAAAAAATGTCATTCAGTTTCTCAGATGCTGATGGACACTTCCCTTAGGGAGAATATATTACTTAAAATTAATACGGTCAAGGGTCTCATTCTGAAAAGTAAAGCAGGTTACAACATGAAAAGAGAGCCTCTGGGTTAAAATGCACACCAGCTTCAGCAAGTGGAACTGAAATGACAGAATCCACACAAGAAAAAGATCAAACCATCTTGCTGTCAAAATATCAAATCCATATACAAAACTAAATCTTCATTTTTCAGAATGATTCCTGTGAAGGTCTTGTTGTGTAATACACACTCGCATGATACACACAAAACGAAGAGAATCTGCTGATCAATATCAGACAACTGAGCAAGAAAGAAATAGGAAACGTGAGTAAAATATGTTCTGTGTTGTAACAAATACCCCTGCTTTTTATGCAATTTCACAGTGCTCGAATAGAGAAAAGATGATAAAATATGTAAACTCCAGAGTCTGGAAAAAGACTGCCCGAATGATAAGCAAGACCTGTGAAGAAATAGCAGCATGGTTTAATCTAGTATTTGACATCTGTCATATACAGTAGCAACAGGAGGTACTGTATATGCAGTCCAGCCTTTTCATGAAAGCTAGGCAAGCTGACACTTGTTAATGAATAATTATATGTAATAATGACCAACAAATGTGTCTGATAAAACTAAAACACGTGTGATTGTACGGAGGACTCTGAACAATCTCCTCTTACTGTTATGGGACTGTAGCCCCTGATTTCTATTTCTGCACAGGGTGACATTCAGTTCCTCATTCTTACAAACTTGAAAAGAGATGCAAGTTTGCAATTCTGCATGCAACACGGTGTGAGGTGTTCTCCAGCAGCAGGGACTAAAAAGGCACTAGTGCAATCTCTCGTTGCAACAAAAACAGAGATAATTGCAGATTTATTTGAAATTCAAGGAGATTATATCCTGATAGTGCTAAATCATCGATTGTCCGTGGATAACTTGTTTCCTTATATTCTGATTTCTAACAGCTGCAGCTGAAATGCAGGGCTGGTGGCATCTGGCCCAGAGATCCGTTTCTCTTCCTTCCTGCCTCTGACTGATACCCTGCTCTGCTGGAGTGTGTGTACAGTTAAATAAACTCCTCCTGTTTCATAGCGGCTTCTCAGTAAGACCAGACCTCAAAAGAATAACTTAAAAGTCTTTGGGGGCGGTCTTCTGCTGAATTTCAATTAAAATGAAGAAAAGGAACACCTTTAAAGATGTTTAGTCATTGTGACAATGAATTCACAACATGTCGGCCCACTGAAATAAAGCAAGCAAATATTTCATTAGTTTCCATAAACTACAAAATGTGAACACACATTTCCCATTTTACTACAGCCATGCTCTCTATCATACGGTTCATGAAACTCTTTCACACATTTAAGAACGTAAGAAAGGTTACACAGGAGAGGAGGCCATTTAGCAAATTGAGCTCATTTAGATGGTAGCAGGCCTAATTAGTCAGTTTGTGAATCTGACCTGGTCATTTTTTTAAAAAGATTCTGTCCTCATATTTCTTTTGATTTAGCATTTTACCTTCTACCTGGAATCAGATACTTTGCACAAGAGAACATACAGTATGGGGGCGAAGGGGTAGCACTGTGGCTAAGGATCTGTGCCTGTGGCCGGAAGGTTGCCGGTTCAAATCCCGCGGCCGGCAGAGGAATCCTACTCCGTTGGGCCCCTGAGCAAGGCCCTTAACCCCAACTGCTCAGGGATTCTTATTGAAATAAAGTACTGTAGTACTGATGTTAGATGTGCTTAAATAGAATTAATTCCAGGCCATTTCCAGATAAAGAAAAATATGCACAATTTCATGCTGCATGAAATTTATTATTCTCAAAAAACAGAGAACAATTTCCACAACACATAGCTGGAAAGATCCTCTGTGATGTAAGAGATGAATAATTCCACTTTGTGTTTACGGTTACTGTATATCACACCTGATTTTTCTGTTGATTTTGCAAGAAAGCTAGGCAGCAACTACTTTTTTTAAAATAAAAGCCAATTCATTAAAAAGCCAACTCCTGCACGATCCTTGCTCATTTACTTGGCATCCTGTTCTTCCTGTACTATTTACTAGACAACAGGACCTTCTACATGTTAATACCAGCTGGAAGGAAGCAGTGTGTTATGAATCATACTACCAACAAGCGTTTATTCCAATGTGTTTTTTTAATACATTATACCATAACATTCAGAAAAGGGAAGTAGCCTGTGCCTTAGGGAAATCTGCCTACACTACACTCACTAACAACTTCTGCATTGCTACAGTATCTGCAGTTTAGGGAGTTTGGTTTCAAATGGTCTCAAGATTCTTCAAAATTTCCAGCATGCTAAGAAAACAAAAGGCATCCATTTATACTTTTTTTTTAAAATGTCGGTCTGTCTACGGCTGTGTGCAAACAGGCCGATTCTGTTAGGCTGAAAACAAAAACATGCAAGATCAGAACATTTTGTTTCAATGGGTGAATATAATAAGTTAGGTCATGTACACTGTCAAAAAGATAGCAAAAATCTGGTTTTGGCTACACCTAAGAAATCCTAGTTTAATTTCCAGTGAGAATCAGGGTTATTACTAAAGTTAATGTCTGTTGTCTATTTAAATGCTGTGGTCACGAAAAATGAAAGCCTACTTTTATCAAGACATTTCTGTTATTCTGTCTTCCTGGGTATTTCAACAAAACACCTATAAGGTGGAATTCAATTGGACTGATGATAAAGGAGAAGGGTTCAGAGCTGTTTTCAGGAATATCAGTATCTTCCCAAAGTCCTGCAAATGTTACATATGAAACCTGATTATTGCTTCAGCATTCTTATCATTTTGCTGCTTTTAAAAGTACTGTCAGTCTCTCTTAAATCAAGTAGGAGGTTACTCAGAGGACAGCGGCCTTTCAGCTCAGCATCTATCTGACTAATTACAGGGCAGATTCCAACCTGTTGTCACCATCAATCTGCCTACTCTACTGTATGCCTACTTTACTTTCCAATCACAGCTGCCATCCAGCCAAAAGTAGAGATTCAAAAAACATCTGTAGTGATACACAATAAATTCAGTTGTGCTATGAATTTAACTTTGTGGCCATAAATGTAATCACGTCATATTCCAGGCACTTTATGACTTACTGTAACAATGCGCAATGAATCAACTTCACGGATTTTACACAAAACAACACAGCACAAAACATTTTCACAGTGGTGTAAATGTCAGTCATTGTCTCTCACCACATAAACACACAGACATAATTTGTAACCAAAGACCTAGTCTTTAGTCAAGCTTCTGAAAACGATATCCTCCCCAAAGCATTTGTATTTAACGGTTTGTAGTGATACTTGGAAACGTTCTTTATTTGAATGCAAGTAAATGGAGTTTGTGTTTTCCTGCCACTTCACCGACCCAAAAGATTAGCTCAACAACACTCGTCAAATATGAGTCTGATTTGATAGCTACTTTGACATATCTATAGACCAGCTTCCAGCCCAGAGATTAGTTCATCAGAACAAAAACGGCCCACAGCACTGAGCCCTTCTGACTTCACAACGACGTTTTCTGTGCAATTCTAACAGCTGCAAAAATCAAATCGCCTACGAGTAGCAGTAATACAAAATCAAACCGGAAAAACACATTTACATCCCTGCGTCCAGAAAGAACGGCCCTTTTTAAGTCACCCAACAGTTTCCGATTTCCAGATCCCATTTATATGTATGCATAATTACAACAGGTTTTGCAAAACCTCTTAGAAAAATTACAAAGCCAGGGCTGTACCTCGCAATTCAACAGATGCTTACCTGAAGGTTAACGCCACTTTTACACGAACCACTAAAGGGTGCAATATCTTGCTAAGGGGGTAAGAGGCAATTAACATGATGACTGCAGAAATTGCCTCTCTTAGTGAAACAATGATGACTGTTAAGTCAACTCTGTTGGTGTTTTTGTCACTTACCCGGAACGCTACAATCGGCACAGACCTCGCTGTTCCGAAGCCGCTTTGACATCCTTATTTTCCAAATAAAAGGCCCTTTTTAAAGGTCAGTTAAACGTTTTAGTTATTCTCCTATATTCATCTGATCCGCGGTTTCCGCTGCGACCTCACTATTACGTACACTAAGAAGAAAATCCTGACGGGCACAAAATAATTCGTCTTTTTTCCGCCTCCCTTTTATTTAACACAACAGAGACGGGAAGCTGCTGCTATTCTAAGGACGGAAACTCTACACCAACGTGAACGCGCACAGTAGCCGAGGCCGTTCGCATTCAAGCGCGGAAACTACGGAATATTCCTAGCGTTCCGGCAATGGCGGAGATAAGACTCTACGTAAGTTACGGCTCTTGACTTCGTCAGGCAGGACATTATTAAGAAACACCTCCGCCTGTCAGAGTTCTGGGTCACGAACGTAAATAAAATCGTATTCTCCAATTCCAAATACGTAAGCGCCTCCTGACACCGCACTCCCAGTTAGGTAAGTTGCGTAGTGTATAGGATGTGACAATCTTTTGAGTGTTAAAATCTAAAACAAATATTTCAAAGCATTAAATAAATGCAACATTGTGAAATGTATTAGGTTAGTGTTGAATTAATTGTAACAATTCAATGTGATATTTTAGGCACCTGTTAATTCTTTGAGTGATAACTCCCCCTGAGTAAAAAATGGTAGTGCCTTTGTTTTGGAACTAATCATTTTATACACATATGCGTTTTTATCTTCTGAATAAAAAAAGTAAAATGATTTTTAGAATGGCTTCCAAAAACAACAAACTAACAATGTTATAGTGAAATACCTTCTAAGAATTGTATTGAACACGAACTTGTTTTATTGCGGACACCCCTACGTAGATCATAATAGTCCTTACCAGTCACTTCCTTGTTTTTCAAAAGTTTTATTTTGAAAAGTTAGCGTCGTATAAGTTGTATTTTTGTGATTTAATGCACGCGTCCACCCTTGGCTAGCGGAGACGGCCTTTGTCTTCTCTCACGTTTCCTCGGGATAGGACATCAGCGTATTGTTTCATGCCAGTTCTGCGAAAACTCAGCTTTACGGAATGTCCGCCACCGAAGACTTCAGGGTTAAGTTTCCACTCCATTCTTTAGTCTGGGAAAATGACTATAGAAAATTGGAAAAAGAGATCACGAAGGTACGTACATAGAGCTGTGGCGTGTTTATTTTAATGACCGCGAGTGTGCACTGACTTGGGTGAGATGATCGCCTTTCCTCGCTACTAACTCAGCACGCTTACTTTTGCGACTTCAATTGCAGTACCTTTGTACTTAGTTTTAGCCTTGCAAAAAAATAATAATCGATTTCCTCGTCATTTGAACACTGTGGGTTTTAGCAGCAGCCTTGACCAAAATGTGCGCCTGATGTGTACTGCGCGGTTGTTTCTGAGAGAAGAGTCCATCTGTGTCCAAGACGAGATCATCTTGGCTTGATGGATGTAACATTGCTTGACGACTTTTCTATTAATTGAAGCCGAGAGATACGCAGTGATCTAAGTTTTGAATCTGTAATATTCCCACACACAGTTTGGCCGTTTGGTGGAACTGTAGTGTATACGGGCTGTTGTGAAAAATTAAGTTCAATTGTTATTTTCTACAATGATTCCTCTAGTTTGGCAGGGTTAGTAGTTGTAGTATTAAGTTTTCGTCTGAAAGTGAAACGCATAGGTCTGATCTGTCAGGTTTATTTCACTGAATAATATTCATGCATTAATTATAAGTGATGTATAAATGTGTTTTTTTTACAAAACAATGCCTGTGTCTAAATCTTGCGGTTTTACAGAAACGTTGTGGAAGGATATTTCCTCCTCTGCAGTGCCTCCTATCTCGCAACACTGGGTTAGAATATTTATTGTGAGATTGTGTGCTCAGAGGAGCAAGGGGGGGGGGGCTTTTTTGTTAGTAAGTTTATAGAAGTAATTGACTTTTTATTTTTTTGTAGCACAATATCGAGGAGCCTGACCCTCGTGGCCGTACACCCTTGCATCTCGCAGTGTCTTTGGGGCATCTGGAGTCAGTAAGAGTCCTCCTGAGGCATTGTGCCGAAGTAACCAAAGAGAACGCTAAGGGCTGGACAGGTGAGAGAACCCCCGAGTTATTCTTAGAGCTCCGGAACATCTCTAGGTTTTAACAGGGGGTGGAGCTGGTGTGAACTTATACCATGTGATTGATTGTGGATTGGAAACCCATAAACATAATGGGACACTCCTGATATTTGATCTTCAAATAAATTGCACACTCTCCTCTTCAATCATAGTTTTTTTTTTTTCATGCTTGCAATGTGGTACAGGAAATACCAGCAATAAATAAGTAGTCATTTGCATCAGTTGGTCTGAAAGGAATTGCTGACGCGTTACGCTTGCTATTAGAATCAGCCCCCACATATTGGCAGACACTTGCTGTAATTAATAGATCCAAGTGAGATGCAGACCAAACTAGGCTTTCCAATTGCTAAATTAAAAGAGCAGCTATAACAGCTACAACAATAATTAATACACTGACATTTTCTGCAAACAAACATGCATCACAAAATATCTCTGGGTTTGCACATAGCGTGCAATTGAGCTGAAATTAAGCACGAGGGCTTTTGTTTGAGGGTCTGGTTAAGCATTGCTACCTCACTGCTCTGGAGCCATGGCCTCAACTCAGACCTGGGGTGCTGTCTGTGTGGAGTTTGCATGCTCTTTCCATGTTCACATGGGTGTTCACTGGGTGCTCAAAGACAAGCTGGCGGGTTGATTGGCTTCTGGGAGAACTGGCCCTGACATGAATGTGTCTGTGTCTGTGTGGGTGCTGCAATGGACTGGTGTACCCGGCCTTGTGCCCGTTGCTGGCCAGCATGGGCTCCAGCTCCCCCACAACCCTGAAAAGGAAGAAGCGGCTAGAAAATAAATAGTCTACACAATCCCCCTGCAGAGGATGGACCTCTGCAGGGGGATTGTCATCTGGGCGTTTTAAGGTGCGAATTGACTGAATTCATTGAATTATTGCCAGCAGGTTTATCCCCCTGCAACTCACAGCGGGCGGCCCACTGGAGCTCAGCAGGTGTGAGCCTGGTCAGTACCCGGATGGGAGACCTCCTGGGAAAAACTAAGGTTGCTGCTGGAAGAGGTGTTAGTGGGACCTGTAGGGTGTGTTCACCCTGCAATCTGAGTGGGTCCTAATGCCACAGTATAGCGTGCGGGACACTTTATTATAAAAAAGGCGCCGTCCTTCAGAGGAGACGTGAAATTGAGATCCCGATTCCTCGTGGTCATTAAAAATCCCAGCGTAAACCTGGTGTCCTGGCCAAATTTCCCCCTGGCCTTTACCAATCATGGCGTAATAATCCCCATTTCTGAACTTGATGAAGCCATCACTCTGCTCTCCTCCCCACTGACAGCTGACATGCGGTGAGCGTTCTGGCACACTATGGCTGCCTGTTGCATCATCCAGGTGGGGGCTGCACATTAGTGGGGGGGAGACCGCATTACCTGTAAAGCATTTTGAGCAGAGTGTCTAGAAAAGAGCTACATTAGCGTTAGGGTATTATAATGATGTAACTGAAGGTTTGTAAATGAGCTCAGCACTTACAGTCTGCGGTGCTCCTCTTGTGTCTGTGCATGGCTGTGCCGTACTGGCAGTGCTGCAGGAGGCAGTGAGCACCGGGGACCCAGAGATGGTGCAGCTGGTCCTGCAGAGGAGAGACTACCTCAAGGCCTCCACTGCCCTGGCAGGAGTCCCAGAGCTTCTGTGCAAGATCCACGAGGTGCGACACTCACACTGCCCGTCACTTCATCAGCAGTGAACCACAGCTTAAAAAAACCTCAGTGCTTCCTCATATATATGCTGTTTCCCTGTCCTGTGGTACCTATCCATTAACTCTTCCCGAGATGCGGCCGAGTTTCATGCAGGGAAATCTACTAATTAGACGTAGTTTAGCACTGTTATGAAAGGGGACATTTTTAGTGTTTTTCAGAATGTTATTGGGAATAAGGTACTGTCTGAAAGCAGCTGTACATTTTTTACAGCTGCTAAAAATCACTGCTCTGCTGTTACAGGGTTTTTCCATATATCAGCAGTTTTAATATCTTTTCTGTACTACCTGTGGGCTTTATAATGAAGACCTGATAAATCAGGAACAAACGAAGAAGGAACGTCTATTCTTGGAATATTTTGTAATGACAGTATTGTTTAGGTAATGCTTTCAGAAAATGTGTAGACCCCTGTAGGACCTATATGTTTAAAACTATGATATCCTGAACACTCTGTGACCAACTAATGTGTATTTTTATTTTTAGTCTCCTGATTTCTACATGGAAATGAAGTGGGAGTTTACGAGCTGGAGTAAGTTAATCACATTGCTAAAGCGCCAACATTGCCTTTGGGTATATTTAGGGCTCTCTTTGTATTTCTGTTAGGCTTGTTGAGAAAGAAAGATGCATCACAGTGGTGTTGTCAGCTCCTGGGTTCTGTATTCCTACAGAACCTGGAGTGCTACCTGTGTAGAGTTTGCACACTCTTCACTGGCCCATTGGGTTTTCAGCAGGTGCTCTGGTTTACTCTCACAGACCCAAGACAAACTGACGTCTGGGTGTACAGTATGTGTGTACCCTGCGATGGACTTGTGTGCTGTCTAGGGTATAGTCCTTTTCTCCCTGTTCGTGCTGCCTTATGCTGGTTATCTCGCTGGGAGCGTATGAGGGCAAAGCAGTCACTGAAAATTGATGGATGCTGTATACTTCCTGTTGAACTTTAATCTGCGATAAGTATTTATTATCTATGAGCTAATTTTCTCTTTGAATACCCGTAGACTGATGAGAATGTGAATATAGGAAAGCTTTGCACATATTTAAAGTGAATACCTCATGTTAGCAACTTAGTTAAAAATGGTAATTTTGCAGTAGTAACAATCTTCAGTTTTCTCTTTCATCTTTTCATTATTGTTTTATGAAGTCGCAAAAGAGATTTTTTTTTCTATAAATGCAAGCATGTTTTCCACCTACAGATAATCAGACCTTTGAAGTTTTGCAGGGGAAAATCCCTCTTTTCCAGTTTAATTTCTAGGCAGTGAGTTTTCTGTGACGCGTTCCCTTGCAGTCCCTCTTGTGTCCCGGATGTGTCCGAGTGATGTGTGCCGGATCTGGAAAAGCGGAGCCAACCTGCGTGTTGACGTCACACTGCTCGGCTTTGAAAACATGACATGGATCAGGGGCCGGAGGAGCTACATTTTTCGGGGAGACGGTGAGTGTCCATCACACTCCTACCTGGAATGGCTGTCTTGAGGCATCTGTGATTGTCAGCTTATAAGGAACAGTTTTGGTTCATTTTTAGTTTTTAGCTTGCTTGGTCTGTCATTTTTGTGCTGAAAATGAAAAGGATGGAATTTTTCAGCATGCTGCTGCGTGTCTCGCCTTGCGCTTCTGTAGATAACTGTGCGGAGCTGATGGAGGTGAATCATGACGAAGAGCTGGTGGACACGGAGCGTTTTGACATCTCCCGGGACATGGAGGAAGTCACTCTGGACTCCATGCAGCCAGCCGAGCAGGAAGTGGCGAAGCGCCTGACCACGCCTATTGTCAACACCTACCTGGACACTCGGCACATCGCCTTTGAAAGGCAGGGTTTTACAGGCTTGTGGGTAAAAGGGGGGCGGGGGTTCGATGTGGAAAAGTGAATAACGCTTTTCTCCTTGAAGGTTCTCTGTTCTTTTGTTTTTAACTTGGGCAGTGCGTTTGGATTTTGCCAGTGCTCTAACAGTATGAGGAAACAGTCAGTTTAGTTGGTTAGAAAGCTGAAACTGGATTGTTGTGCTATTTTTGTTTCTGAGCTAAGGGGAATTTGTGCTAGCAAGTGGCTAGCCCTGATAGAATGGAGCGCTTTGGATCTAGTAGATGAAACTTGGAAGTAACTGCATGATCAGCTTTATGGGAAGCTATTGTGGTCTTGTAGTTGAAATTATAAGAAGATAGGACTGAAGTATAGTTTAGCAGATTGAGTTATTGAGCAGAAACACAGTGTGAGCCTGTTTATGAATGGAATGAGAGCACAGTGTGATCAAACAATCAGGACAGACTACGACATTATACAGGAAATAATGACTAAAAAATAAAAAATAATGAAAATATTGAAAATGTCCTTTTCTAGAAATAAGTCTGGAATCTGGGGGTGGAGGAGTGACAAGACCGAAGTTATCAATGGGTTTGAGGCGAAGGTGAGTGACTGGAACATTCAGATCAACATCATACTGTAGTTTTATTTCAAGATGGTGCTGTAATTGCAAAGTCATTGAGAGTTGGTAGACGGTTTTTGAGCTGCTGTGGCTACAGCATTTTGGAAATTTGTCAATGCTTTACTGAAGTGTCATTTCCTTTGTTACTGGCTTACTAGCTGGTAAGGCCATCTACAAGAGCGTTTCAAGATAACCTTTCCCCCCTTGTCTCCGCTTGCAGGTTTTCACAGTGAACAATGTCAATGTGGTGATTCGGACCAGGACAGAACACCTTACTGATGAGGAGAAAACTAGAATAAAAGGTAATTGCAGCAATGTTTTGAAGGAAACATTTATCCAATGGTGTGTGTGGCTTTTGGTTTTGATTAATCATCTTTATAATCTGTGAACAAGTACATACTGCAGTTGTCTTTGCAGTACAAGCGCAATATGAATGCTGACTAACAATTAATGCAGTTCCCAGCATGAAGGCTGTTCCATAGAATGTTTTTTCTTACTTTTTGCGCAGATGGACCCAGTTACCTCTTGGTAATTTAAAAACAGGGAGTAGAGTTTTGAAGTCTGTAAAAGACATTCTGTAAAGTTACTTCAGAATTTAAAGTTTAATGGATTTTGTCTCCCATTCTGTAGATGAAAGGAACATTTTGGAGTCTCTTCTAGGAACTGTAGAGCAACATTTCAGTGCACAAGGGGTAAGGAATCTGACTGAAACCAGCCAGTGTGGGTTTTTTTTTTTTAATGTCAGTTCTTTTGTGATGACTGGAATTCAATTTTGTTGCTTTAAGGACCTCACTTTGGAGTTCGCAACAGCAAATAACCCCACTGCCATCACCCCTGAAGAGTACTTCAACCCAGACTTTGACCTCCAGGACAGAGATATAGGGCGGCCTATTGAGCTCACCATCCGAACTCAGAAGTATGACTCGCACAGTCTGTGCATTAGAGGAACACACACACACGTACAGCTGACTCTGTTTCCCGTGATGGAAGACTATCTTCACATCATAGTGGTTACAGCTTCGACCAGAGAAATACGTCTGCCATGTATAGAAAAAAAAATACATGATTAGTAAATGCCTTAAGGTTATTTTGCTGTATTACGGCTTAAATAATGCTGTAAGAGATGTATGTATATTACACGTATTAGCCTAATAACTGTAGCACTCTGTGTGATACTGCACAGAGATTTTCAGGGTTGTCGATGTTTTAAAAAATGACGGCTTAAAGCAACAAAGCAGTAGAGAATAAAATCTAGGATCTAAGCACAATGGCTGGCTTTTGATTAAAACCGTGATTTCCCCTCTCCTCCTTGGGATTGCAGGTTCAAAGCCAACCTGTGGATGAGTGAGGAGCACCCCCTCTCCCTCGTGGAGCAGGTGACACCCATCATCAACCTGATGGCCCGGACCAGCACACACTTCGCTAGGCTCAGGGACTTCATCACCCTGAAATTCCCCCCGGGGTTCCCAGTTAAGATAGGTACAGAAAACCCACCCACGATGTAAACAGCACACAGCGGTTGCTTTTCTCTTATGTAGCAATTAATATACTAAGCCCTAAGAAATTAATAGTTTTTATGCTCTCTTATAGGTCTCTTTAAAGCTGTTTTTATTGTAGTTTTCTGTAATATTTTCCATTTATGCATCTCAGCACCATTGATGTGACATTCTTTTAAGATAAGATCACTTTATTGGCCATATGCAATTTTTGGCATTAGGAATTTGTCTTTTCGCATACCCCAGCTTGCTCTCCATGAGAAACACAGGCACACAGACAGGGAGAGAAGCTGGGGGTCAGAGCGCAGGGTCAGCCATTTATACGGTGCTCCTGGAGCAGTTGGAGTTAGGGGCCTTGCTCAGGGGCCCAAACGGAGTAGGATTCCTCTGCCGGCCGCGAGATACAAAATGGCAACCTTCCAGCCACAGGCGCAGATCCTGAGCCACAGAGCCACCGCTCCTTTTGGAAGTGGCCTACTATATTCTTAATCCAAGGAGATTCTATTGATAGTATGTGACAAACAGAGAAGGCTGTTATGCATGTGTTTGCTAATTTCCTCGTTTTCTCTATTTGTCCGCTCTTCCCTTCTGTGTGTGTTCTTCCTCTCTCAGAAATCCCCCTGTTCCATGTCCTAAATGCTCGCATTACATTTGGAAACCTGAACAAGTGCAGTACAGGAGAGCCACTGGAGTCTTCATCTTCTGCTGCCTCCCCAGCACCTACTGAGGAAGACGCAAGCTCCTCGGGTAATGTCACTGACTACACACTTGCTGTAACAACGCCGTGGCGCTGTGGCGCACCGTCTGTTTCAACACGTTGGCCAGTAAAATGAAACGCAAGGTTTCTAATTAACCTCTAATGTCGATATGCATTTGGCTGAAATTCTGCTTGACCAATGCCGATCATTATGTGTGACTTTTTGAACGTATAATCATTTGGTGCCGTGCTTAGAATACACTATTTTTTTACACCCCAAAAATAAGAGCTTTAGGTGTAAACAGGTTGATTGCCCAATGAGAAAATGCTGGGACTGGACCTGACCTGCTGTAACCATGGGGCTATTAACTGCTGCTGTGTAATAGAGGGATGGATGTCGGAGCTGATTGGTAATGTCAACAGGGTGTAGCCTGGCTTTGTCCCAGCACTGATTGCTGTGTTGTTCTGCTTCCCAGGTCCTGTCTCTGCTCCATTCACAGTTTGCCCCTCAGTATTTGATGTGCCCGCACATTACTACAGGCGTGGAGGTAGCAGGGCGGCGCCTGTCTCGAACCACGATGAGGAGCTGCTGCAGTTTGCCATCCAGCAGAGCCTGCTGGAGTCGAGCAGCGTAGGAACTGGGCAGGTCTGGCTGTAGTCGCTGCAGCAGGATGACCTGTTTGTAGATGTTTGCATTGAGTGCAGATGTATTTTGCAAATATGTGATATGAAGTCTTCAGCCCGTTTTTTTTGTTTCATGACCGTTAATGCCGACACGAGATCTAAAAATTAATGAAGAATGACTTGTTCGTGCAAAATGACTATAAGAGGAACCGTGCATATAGGCTTGCCGCATTTTAACTTTCACTTGTTCCTTTTAGAAGGTGTTGTTATATTGTATTGTATTCCTAAGTATAGCGACTTCAGTAATCTTGCACATGTTGAGATGAGCTGTTGCAGAAAGAGGCTTGAGTGAACGGTTCGATTCTAAAGAAATGTTGTGAGAATTCTTCTTTCGTCATTGCAATCACTGAGTTACTTTTTTTCTGCTTGTTCTTGCAGGACGTGTCGTGGGGCGACACTAACGGTGTGCTGTCTCCTGGGCAGAATCCTAGGTAAGGGGTCCGGATGAATGCCGTCAGACCGGCTCCCTTGCAGGTGACCGTTCTCCTTCCCATCATTCTTCGTGTCGCTGTTTCAGGGTAGTCCCGGAGGGTCTCCTGGTGGACGTGTCCGGTGGAGAGAGCCCCGTCGGTTCAGGGCCCGCCAGCACTCCAGACTCGGACCTCAGGCTGGCCATGGAACTGTCTGCTCAGGAGCAGATAAAAGCGGAGAGGAGAAAAAAAGAGGAAGAAGAGGAGCTAGAACGGATCCTACAGCTTTCGCTCACAGAGAAGTAACAATGAAGAGAGAGAGAGAGACGCCCTCGCCCTCACCGCATCCCTGTCCAGACCCTGAAGAGGTATCCCCTACCCACGAGCCCCTTGTCTGCCACTACACAGCAGCTGCAACACAACCTTTAAGGGGAAAAAAAAGACATTTTAAAAAAAAAGTGAAATGTAGCAGTGGAAGAACCCACTAAATTAACTTTTGTCAACGTGAAAAAAACTTTTTTACATATTTTACTTCTTTATTGACGCTTTGTAGACCCTTTGTTCTCAACCAGTTTTCTTTGTGGTCCATGAGCTGTGTGTAATGTGTCATCTGCACATTGAGCTGGTTTTCTAAACGGCACTGGGCAAGTCAGACAAGGGAGTCGTGAATCCTGGGAATCGTGTGACATAGAGAACTGATACGAACAAAGGCTCTTTCGGTTAGGATGGGCAGATCGGCAGGTGAAACGCTCTAATGGGAGTGGCAGAGAGGCCAAGAGACCTCAAGATACAGGGGTGAGATCTTAGAATCAGGGAAAATTCATCTCTAAGATCAAGGATACCTCAGGGGTGTGCATTTTCATTTTCAGTCTGTCCTGTGGAGATCTAGCAAAAAAGATTGCGAAGCCAGAATGTTGTGGAGTAGAATAAAAATCCAAAGCTAGACAGGACAGTGTCCAAACAGCTGCTGCCATTCCCAATCTAAGTCAGGTTCATATGTATCATATTATAAACCATTGCCTTCCAGAATGTCAGCCATGCACTTTTTTTATTTGTCAAGACAACGCCTTCCTTAAAAGGAAGTTGAGTGAACCCGTTGCGAGTGGCTTCATCAAGCAAAAATGAGCAATGCCAGTATAGAAGTGCCAGGTCACTGAAGTGGTGCTTCCTTCCAAAGCTTTTAACACACCCTTGGAAACAAAGCTTAACAGACCTCCTAGTGAGGATGGGCTAATTAGAAGACCTAATAGTTCACACTGCTGCTCTTCACAGATCATCACAGCAGGTATTCGTTTTTATATTTTAATTGTTGAAGGTGGTCATATCCACACACCATTAACATGCCAAAACATTTGATTCCAAGGTATTTGGTGACTTTATTAATGATTGTCAAGGGAATTCTAGGATAGTAGCCAGTAGTCTGTTATAAAATGTAACATGAGAATCAAATGAAATGTGTAGTATTTATGTTCATTGACCTCTAAAATCAGATTGGGCTCTGTGGTCTTTCACTGATACTACAATGACTAAATGCATTCGATATTTAACTAAGAGCAAATTTGCAGTGTGCTTCAGGCCTACAGAAGACTTTTGTATTTTTTCATTCACTTTTGTTTAAGTACTTCACAATATTTTTCAACAACACAACAATACATCTTAATCACAAATGTAGTGTAATGCAAAGATGAGACTTCAATGAACAGATACAACAAAGCAGTACAGTGGACTTTGCACGGACAAGCTGATAGTGTACAGTAATATTTATCAAAAATGTCTCTCCTGGGGGGCTGGTACTCTTTACTACAGAGATTCAAAACACCTCATGTGGAGTTCTTTGTGCATCAGCATTGCAAAGATGTTTGTTTTTTTTACATTATATGCAGCATTACATTAGCTACAGAGCTCACTTTTAAACGATTCTAATTTGTATCAGAATGTTAAAATATTTTAGGTTGATGCCAGTTTTTCATTCATGTTTCATTTTCTTAAATAAAAGCACTTTATGGCCACTTTTTGCACTTCATTTTTTTCAACTTTTCATTGTGTAGTAATGGATAGGTATACGTTTTAAAAAATGATTTTGCTGTATTTTATGCATTATGAAAATGGGCAATTCTTTGTGCAATTTTACTGTATGATTGTGGTAGTAACACGTTTTGCATACAGAGAGTTGGGGTTAAGATTGGGGTACAATTAGGGAGGGATCTCTTTAGTATTTCCGTAAGGTAAGGATTACGGATATTGACACTGTGTTTTTACTCTTGTAACCATCCTTGGGATTTTAGTGAGTCCTAGGGCTTATTATGGAAATAATGTAGTTGAAGTATGGTTTGGATTTTTATGGAACTTTTCAGGTTAAACAGAGGGGGGCAGTGTTCTCTTAAATTCCAGTTCATCACATGCCTTTCTTTTTATATCAGATTCCACAAATCCATAAAATTGTAATTCAGCCTCAAGATTTACCTTAAACTACTTTCTTTAATATCCCTATACACCTGAAACAATGGGATAAGATTTTCTGATTTATGAAAGATTTAAAAACAGTTTGGTGTCATCCATGCCAGTCTCCTGGTAAATTTCCTTCTGGTTCACAAACATTTTCTCTGTGTTAAATTTTAGATTTACAACAGAGTGCTGTACAATACAGATAAAGCATTGATATTCATTTTGTTTCATCTACTAAACATAGCTCCTACCAACATTAATTTCAACATCTGTGTTGTATATACTGTACAGATTAGAGATTCTTAACTGTTAAATCATTCAGCTTGGAATATTACATTGACTATACACAGGCACTTCATGTTATGTTGGGAGTTTTCACTGTAAATATAATTGAAATCCAATTTTAAAAGATAAGCAGTCCATGCACTGCAAAACCAGATCTGAACAGGACTATTGAGCCCTTTATTTATATGTAAACTGTTTTTTTTTACTGGTATTGTAATATTTTAGAGCAACTAGAAATTATGTTCTTTGGGGTTTGTGGTATTTCCATATAATTTAAAATTATTAGTCTTAAGTGATTCATTTTCACTAATTGGACACAACTCCTCCTACAAACTAATAGTTAATATTCAAATTAAAGTATTTCATTTCATTTATTGTAGTTAACCATAAAAAATTTACAATTTAGGGTGTGTTTTTTTTTCAAAAGGTATTGCAAAATAATTTCAGATGGTCAATCCATATTGCTTATTCAATCTGACATTTTAATATTAAGGTAAATACAATTTACAGGGTTTTTATAGTTGAATGTTTTTAACGGTAGTGTCGGCGCCTCACGTAGCTTCAGGTGTTATTGACAGTTTCTAATCTCACAAGACATTTGAATGACATTTGCTGGTGTCTTTCTAGTCTAAAGCTGTAATTCTTAATTTCTGAAGTGTGTTTGAGAAGCATTGTAACCCCTTTCAACTGATTACATTTATACTTTAGACAACCCTTTGAGGGGGATACTTCAGGCATTGGCTAACATCTGTAAGAGCTAGCTGTATTATCAGCTTATTAAAATTGGACTATGCTGTGGAATTAGAGGAGCAAAATGGCAAAAGTAAACCGAATGAAAGTCTGGTACAGACTAAATAAAACATCAACTTTTAAAAGGACTGGGCCATTTTAAACACCCCTTAATAACACAAATTGGCTTGAATATTTTTAGTTTTAGCATTTTCAGTGTTAGATGGCATTACACCGTATTACATTTTGTGCACTGTCATACAAAAATACTGTCCTGATCCAACTTCAGAATGATTGACACCTCTGAACGGCGTAACTAAATCCATCTTATTTTTCTCTACTAATTCTTCATTTGGATTTGTTCCTGTAATAGCTGAACACTCAAATTGCCGAGGTCAAGCAGAGAGGGTTCTTGTGCACAGCTCTGTTAGTTCTGGAGTATAGCTGGTGGGATGAAATTATAAACAGGACATTATCTTTTCAGTGTAAAAATATTCAATGCAAAACAAATAGCAGTGTAAGGAAATGAATTGAATGAAGAAATACAGAAAAGAAAGAAATACATAAATAAAACCTTTGGAAAGACACTTCAGTTGCACAGAGGGGTGTGTGTTTGTCCCAGGCACTCCGTTTCCATGGCTCTGGTTTAAAGACTTTATTTGGCCTCTTTTTTTCTTTATTGAAAATATCATTGGTGAAAGATGATTGATGAATCAATGCAAAACAGAATACAGCTTGTACAACATATATGGTAAAAACACAACTACCAGCATTACCATGAGCAACAGACTAAAACGACTATACTCCTACTATCATGAATGCTACAATCATTTGCAAACATTTATACTGTATTATATGTATTAAGTGTCATCTGCCTTTGAGGTTGGAGTTTGCTACACCCTATTTGTGGTGGGATACTGGAAGGAGGTATTCCAATAATTGCGTGTAAACATATGGTTGAAGGTCACAAACACCACATCAGATCATTTAATTGAAGCAAAGTTTTTAATTGTTTCATTTTACTGTCATCTAGTGTTTAAATTCCATCATGGAAGTATATCCCGTACACTGAGGTTAATGGTTACATTTAAAAACAAAGACAAAAACGTTTTTTTTTAGGCTCATCTTGTAGGACCTCCTGCCTTTTAGAATCCAGCACAATACTGCTTGTGCCTTATTTACCGTGTCAATATTCATTCCATACCACCCCGCAAAGGAAGTGAAATGAAACCGCAGTAATCCAAATATGAGCAAGTTATTAAAGGCCCGTGAATTTCTTTTCACATTGCAGAAGTTTGACATCATGTCCACTCTGTGGGATGACAATGCTCAAAAGCATGTCACAGTAACATGTCAGAATAAATAAGGACAAACCAAACAACATTACTGGTTAAAATAATGCACATAAAAATCTAAAAGTCACATCTAACAAAAGTGCAGTTCAAACAGCACTAATCAAGTATCAGCTTTTATGCACAAAATGATGAGATGAAATGAAAATTTAAAACAAAGAAGGTCCCATTAACCAGTAATCACAGTAGGCTGTTACAGTACATCCAGTTAGTTCCAGTAGTGCATTACTACATAATATACACAAATAAAACAATCAAAAAAGTCCTTTGTGATGGTCGTGTGCATATAAATAATGGTGAAAATGTAATTCTCCTTACAACAAAAATCAACCATCTGTAGATTTCTCTAAAAACATAAATAAAACCAGAAAATGTAGATATTGCTACATTCTTCTTAAAATTGTCAGCTTTTCAAAAGTATGGCATACCTAAGCTGCTCATATACTGCAAACACATGCCTTACAAATAATTGGCCAGGATTGTCTTTTAGAGCAGTGGTTCCCAACCCTGGTCCTGGAGGAACACCGCTCATTCTGTTTTCTGTGTCAGCTAGGTTCTTAATCACAGGATAATGGATTTAAGCTTTTTGTCACAAATTTGCTTTTAGCTCTTAAAAAGTCAAATGGAATTTGTAATCAGCTCTGCACTTATTTCTGAGTTTCAGAAGGGCTCTCATGCAGGTGTGCTGCCTGACTACGCCAAATGGTCTGCAGAAGGAAAAAAACACTGGGCGTTTCTGTTCAGTCACTTCTGTTAGAGTGACATCTCCAATGTGGGCGTGTCTGATTGTGCCACATCCACTGTAGGCATGTCTGAGACAGTGACATCTCCAATGTGGGCATGTCTGTTACTCCCACTGTGGGTGTATCTATTACAGTGACATCTCCAATATAGGCATGTCTCATTGTGTTATTCCCACTGTGGGCATGAAATGAGACAGTGACATCTCCAATGTGGGCATGTTTGATAGTGTCATCGCCACAGGTGTTTGTTCATTGTAAATTAATCAACTGGTATGAGCTGGTTGCTCTAGTTCTAGCTATAACTACAAGTTGAGGAAAGGCTGCGTTCTGTGTTCTGAAGTTGTAGGACTATTCCTGAAGTAGGGCTTTTTTGACACTTATGACTTACAGAAGAAACAAGCTGAAAGTCTAAACAAGAAAACACATCAATTAAGTCGTCAATTAGCACTGAGGATTTAGATCTCAGTTATATATATAAAAAAACATCAGGACTAGCGTTTGGAACCACTGTTTTGGATAAACCCATGGATTCCTTCTTCGAATGGAATCATACTTGAGAAAGGAGAATGCAACGAAGAAGGTCACCAAGAAAGCTCCGAATTGATTCACAAAAGCGTGCAAATCCAATTTACGCAAATGCAGAAAAATGAATATTCAGTGCAATGGGATATGCATTTTCCAAGCATAAAAATAATACTTTCCAAGGCCCTCCAATACTGAACAGGATTTTTTTGGGGGTAGAAACACAAGGTAAAGGGGCTTCACAAAGAAACATAATGACAGGCTGTGGAGTAAGGCCATAGAATGAATTACAGTAAGGGTAAGCACGCACATCTGCAGGTAACACATACCCGGCAGACTGCTTTGAAAGGCTGAAGCTTGCAGGTCAAGACTAACTTGCGGTGCACTGTCATTGTAAGGCTGGCTCATGTGCAGAGATGCCCACAGCCTGGCACTGCCATTCTTCAACGAGTCCCAGCTCTGGACAGCGGCTATCGGCGGTACAGGGGTCTGTACACGCAGACTGCCATCAGCACCATGATCACCAGCAGGACGCTGAGCACACTCAGCAGCAGAGCTATGGGAATCAAAGGGAGAGACGTGAATGCTTTAGGAAACAATTTGCCACCTGTTCAGATCTCAGTGGACAATGCAAAAAAGAAAGGACACTAATAATAATAATAATAATAATAATAATTCCCAACATTTATATAGAGTTTTTCTGGACACTCCACTCAAAGCACTTTACAGGTAATGGGGATCCCCTCCACCACCACCAGTGTGCAGCCCCACCTGGATGATGCGACGGCAGCCATAGTGCGCCAGAACGCTCCCCACACATCAGCTCTCAGTGGGGAGGAGAGCAGAGTAATGTAGCCAATTCATAGATGGTGATTTATTGGGAGGCCATGATTGGTAAGGGCCTATGGGATGCCAGAGTAACACCCCTACTCTTTTCAAGACACAGCCTGGGATTTTTAATGACCACAAAGAGTCAGGACCTCGGTTTTACGTATCATCTGAACGACGGTGCCTTTTTACAGTATAGTGTCCCCGTGCCTATACTGAGGCATTAGGACCCACACAAACTGCAGTCCCCACTAACACCTCTTCCAGCAGCAGCCTTAGGTCTCCCATCCAGGTACTGACCAGGCTCACTCCTGCTGAGTAGGTTGCCAGTTGTGAGTTGCAGGGTGATATGGCTGCTTTGTTCTATAACCGCCTCACACCACTTCCAAAGGCCATTTCCATATAAATGCTTAAAATGAAATTGTAAGTGTTTATAGTGCCTAATGGAGACCAATTTCTTGCCCAGCAATGTGATGAGCCTTTCTCAAGGCATTTAAGATGCACATTTTGACGAAGACTATACTACGCGTTGGGGGACATGTGCTGGAAATATTTTAAGATGTTGGCCTACCCCTCTTGCTACACTGTCTCCAATACAAGCCTGTGAATGCTCTCAGATTATTCATTTTTGTGTATCCTTTATGTGCAATGGATTAAATTAACACAATGTGCCCCTTGCTTCATCTCTTTTTTTTATCATTTTCTATAATTTTTCTCTTCCAGATAAACCACACCAGCTCAAGACTGACATTTTAATTGCCTGTCATTTTTCAGTCAGATGCAAACTACTTTCATGGCTCTTATCTGTGGAAGTGTCACAACTTTCAAAGGCACTGTAAGCAGGAAGGCTCTACTCAAAAAGGCATTTTTCTTTCAGTTTTGGTAAACAGGGCTGCATGTCTTTTTTTCTCAAGAATACACTTCTCTATGTGTATTTCACACACCTTCAGGCAAATTCCATAGCAGAATAACACACATATAGAGTTGGAGTTAGACAATAATAGCTGTCTAATTGCTATTACAATCATATAACTATGGACGTTTTTTTTTTTGTATATACAGAGAGTTTAAATACTCCCAAGTAGTCTGCTTTTTTTCACTTGAAATTTCTATATTTGATCAAATATGAGACGCATCGCAATGTAAAATGCTGGGTTCGGTGTAAGGTTGGAGGGATTCTTGACATCTCACAGTAACAACAGCATACAGCATCTCGGGCTTCGGTATCCAGACTCAGCAAAGCATCTAAAAATGTTTCGTTAAAAAAAATGTTTTCCAAACCTTCACAGTACAAAATATAACGGTGATGACACTTGCTATAGAGGATTAAATAACATAAAATACACGCCTTCATACTTCAATAAGGTAAAGCTTTAATTGTAACATAGGTTGCCCCGTTTTGCATAAATACTAGATTTCAAGCCTGGTAAAATAGGTGATCGACGACTGTGATTCTTCTCCCTCATTCACCTCATCCTCCAACACCACTTCCACCTAACCATGACTACAGCATCATTTTCGCATGAAAGGCAGGCCTCCCTTTAAACTCAGGCTTTGTTTTTGTTTTTTGGTTTGCAACTGCAGTTTCGTTTCGCTATGTCCTTACCCAGGTTCTGATGCTGCAATACCGCAAACGGGCGATCCTGCAGCTTAGTTTCGCCAAATTGGCCTGCCGCCAAAGAAAAAAGAGAAATTAAAGACAGAAGAAAGTGAGGGTGGCAGGAACTCATGGCTGTAAACATTAGACGCAGCAATGACTGACTGCAGAAGGGCTCCGTTTGTAAATAGTACCCCCTGGGTCTTAAAGCCTCCGACATTACAGATTCTAGCAGGCTGGGTTTCTTGTTAACTAATACCGAGTCAATTACAGTAAATAGTCGTACATTTACGTATTTGTCCTACAACACCGATACAATGACAGTCTTGCCTGCGCCGTATGTAATGTAGTACGACTACAGCTGTGTCCACAAGATTGTGCTTATCATGCAGAATTATTTTATTTAATCTTTGTAGCAACATTTTTTTTCAGGTGAAGAGGGGTATGCTTCGTTTTATGTCGAACTAAAAACTTTCCTTCAGACAAGGCAATTTAATTTGTACGTGACGAAGAATTACAAAGAATTAAAGAGTGTATGTCCTCACTGCCTGAAACATAATGTTTCAACATCTCTTCTAGACCTGTTATTGTGATTTGGCAATGCATCCATCTGTAATTAGTATGTGTAAACAGTGAGATAAAATGATTTTTCTGTCTTTTATCTTCTTTGAACACGAGTGTCAGAATGAAAAACGACAAAGTTAAACAGATCTTTTTGCTCCCAGGTTGACTTTACCACCCATGGCTGAACTGCGTGTGTGAAAATGATGTCCCAAAGACGGTTTGTGAAAACAGTGTCTCTAGTGGAGGACAATGCAGAGCTGAGAGGATAAAGAGGCTTGTGTTCCCTTGTCCTCACCCTCTCTCTCTCCAAATCCCAAGTCTTCTCAGAAACAGACCTTAGAACTGTAGGAGGCCCATAAATTTGATTAAGAAAGAATATGTTTAGAATTAACATGTGTTTCTTTACATTGTTGCATGTTTTGTTTTGCAAACTAAACCATCATCTTTCAGGACACAACAATAAACCTTGACCTTCTACAATAATAAATCTACAATGTTAATTTTAAATGGAATGTGTACTTATTGAACCTTAAGGTCTATGCTTATGAGATGAAATGAAAAAAAAATATAAGGGCTTCTTTGATTTCCTGTTAATCTTTTCCAAAAAACACACAAAGCCTCTGCTGACAGGATATTGGTGGTTTTCTCATAAAGCCACTCTGCTTCCGCGTGATGATATCTCCAGTGTAGCAGCTCTCTGGGAAATGTGCCTTTTTATTGCCTGTGTCCATCAGCAAGATAAAACAGCAAAAACTGTTCATTACTTTCCACCCAAGGCAAGATGGGAGAACTTCAATAACAGAGATGATTTATTAAGAGGTGATTATGATAAATAAAGGACATTATGTAAAAAAACAAGAACCACGTTGGCTTTTGTAAGTGTTGTTGTGTTAATTAGTCATGTCACAGTAGAATAGTCTGAGCCGGTTCTACAGTTGTTACCACAAAAAGGGGTTGTTTTTTATAGGAAGTGGTAGGAGAGATCCTGCCTATGTTGAAGATGATCTAGGATCACCAAGGTTCCTGTGGGAACTTCACTTTTGTAGACATCTCTCCTGAAATTTGCATTGTTCCTTCTGTATTTCAACCATTGTGTAATGTTGTGTTTCTTTGTTGGGGTCAGCAGAGCATCTCCGAGTTAGTCCTTCTCTTGACTCCCACCTGCTGATTGACAGACATATAGGTTTTTATTTACATCTAGTAGGTTCAACCACACCTAGAGATACCAGGGACAGTTAAATAGGCCATAATTGCAGAAATGTGTTCAAGATACCGCAAATATATATACCATCCTTGAATTTGCAAAGTTGAGATGTGGAACCTTTTTAGATCCCAGTTTTCAATTAGACTAAACCGTTGTTGTCTGATGACTGAACTCGTAAAAAGATAACAAATTGAAATATTGCTGCACCATAAACTCCCAAAGGATAAGTGCAAATGTAAAATATTATCCAGATGTAGTATCCAATAGACACTAGGCTGAGATCTTTTAAGTGGTGATATGTTTTCATTCATTTCATAGAGAAAATGTTTTCTTTTTATTTTCTAATCATGACCCCTAGTTAAAACCCCAGTTAAGACTGATGCTATGAGTTGGGACTTGCATTCAAGGATTCAAGGAGCAACATACTGAAAGCAAAGACAACAGCTCTCAGAGCAGCCTGTGCACCTGAACGTAAAACAATAAGTTCCTTTTAGCAGGATTATTCTCTCCTCTGTTTCCTTCACTTTCGATAGTTTTTAAGGTGACAAAGGCAGGATAAATGCAAATTAATCTAAAGAAAAACTACTGTACCCAAGGATGGCTTCATAAAGATCTTCTGCAGAAAAATAAGATATGATAAGAAAAAATAAGAAAGGTTTCAGCAGAAAAGAGGCCCGCTTATGTTGTTTGTTAGTATCTGATTGATCCATGAATATTGACTGGATGTTTTTGGTAGAAAGTCAGGGTATCAGCCTCAAAAACATGGGATGGGTAGCATGCTCCAGACTCCATCAACCTTTTGCATGAAGGAATTTCTGCTTGGGCTCTTCTTTGTCTGTTCCACTGTCATACCATACCATTTATTGTGACGGAAAAACAATGAGTTGTTTTCTCCTGTTGGTGTAGGAAGTACCTTGTCTCTCCTAGTTGGATCATGTCCTTTTTTTGTCTGAAAATATAGTGTGTCTTTGTGGATGGCGGAGTGTCCACCCTACAGGTCTTCATGACACTCCTCTGCTACACCCAGTTTGATTCTTTTTCCAGTTGTGCTACCTAAGGACCCTTACAGCTCCAGTCCAGCCCTGTGGGTCTGGTGTGTGTCTCGCCCAGCGATTGGGATTGGAAATGAAATTCTCTGAATGGGCTTTGGAAGCTTCCTGATGGGGGTAGTCTGCTGACAGAGGATATAATTGTCCTTCTAAATCACATCAACAAAAGGAGTTAATTCTTAATGCAACTAGAGCACAGGCTCTGTGTGAGCCCTGGGGCTCCTGCCTGCTCACTCACTCAGTGGGGAGTACAGTTCCTCTGTGCAGGCATGTGTGGTTTGTGCTATATTGTGAAAGGGTTACACACTATTCCTCACAAGCCCTTACACACTCCAGCAGGTGAAAGGTGAATCACTGGGTGTTCTTGCAGAACCCAGTTCAAGACGCTAGTGTTTGCTTGTGGAAGGATTCTTTCTGTCTTCCAAATTGCTAGATATGGAAAACTCTGAAGGATGAGCTGTGACACAGCATGTTTGTGAAAACACCAAATCCCACCTCATACGGGCTGAGTATAGAAAGTGTAGCTGTTTAATAAAGGGAACATTGCAGCTAAACATGCTGCTGTTAAACTTTCAGAACTGCAATCACAAGAGTAAGAACAACACTGTCACATCATCTTTTTCCTCTTGTTGTTTTCTTTGCTGCACAGAAAAGTCAGTTTTTACAGAAGTGAACTGTTGCTCTTTGATTCTTGTTAGTTTTGCCTTGTTACGTGGGGAAATTCTTTGTCTTAGCCTGTCAATAACCTGGACCACCTCTTGACAGTTTATGTAACAGACAGTACAGCATAAAACAATCATTCTAATAAGATCAAGGCCATGAACACAATGAATGTCCAGAGAGCCATTTTTTCTTTAATGTAATTATTCCTCTAGAGTCTGACCTTTGCCTTCCCTGCTGTTCTATCTACACCAGATGTGTTCTGCTGATGTGTTGGTAAACCAACTACTATAAATAATTATATGAAATGTAAAAATGCAATGGGTCACATCGAGATTCACAAGCAAATTGAAAAGCAAATTGCATCCTTGGTCTCATTGCGCTTTACTCCTACTTTTCTCATTGTACAACACTTTACCTGCGCAGATACACTCAGATTCAGTATGACCTATTGAATCAGCGATACTGAGAAAATCATTCTCATGTGTTCTCTTTATAGTCCCACTCCCTCTACACCTCTGCTGCAGTCTCTTGAATAAAGCGCTTTGATCTGTGCTCTTTACCACAGCAACACATGAATGCAGGACAATATTTTCTACCTCCTTTGTCCCAACTATATTATCAGACAAACCCTTTTGCTTTAACTTGCAAAACCAGGGTAACATCTCTAAAAGGGGGAGGGAGGGCTTCTCTTTAATAAAACATTTAATTAAAACATTTGACGATAGCAGCTCTTTTTGTTTTGCTCACAGCTTCAGAATTCTACAGCCCAATGCTAATCAACGTATTAATTAAAACGTCCACAAAAGAGGCCGACAAAGCTGGAAAAAAAAAACAACAGCAAAAGGAAACTATAAAGCCATTCAAATACAAGAGAGAAAATCCATATTACTTTATTTTCAGGTTAACAATTAACCCTTAAATGTGTTATAATTCATCTAATGCAGGTGAATATTGCTATTTGATTATACAGACTGTACCAGTATTTAAAAAGGTCACCCACCCACTAAACCTGCACTTGTAATATTAACTGAAGTATTACATTTTTTACAATTTATGTAGGTTTCTACAGTTCAATCCAAAAATGCTTATACAGTATGTTTAAATATTTATATAAGCCACACTACTGCACAACTGTGTACCTTTTAATTGGCTTTATCATGCCTTTAGATCACATCACTTCCAATAACAGCTGATCCATTTCAGGGTGAAGGTGTCCCAAGGTCTATGACCCTGCTATGTCAGTCCTGGGCCCAAGGCAGGATACACTCAGGACGGGACTCTAGTCCATCGCAGGGCGCACACACTCACACCAGGGTTCGTTTTTACACAAGCCAATTAACCAATTTTTAAATTAGCCAATCTTTTTGGCTTGGGACTGTGGGAGAAAACCAGAACAGCAGGGGGAAACCCATGCAAACACAGAGAGAAAATGCAAACCCCACACACCCTGGCTTTCCAGGAATTGAACCCAGGGCCCCATCACTGCAAGGTAGCCATCCAAACCACTGTGTGACTATGACGCCCCCTTTCATATCAGCACTGTCAAATTTCAATGTCCAGTTTGAAAGAATGATGGTATTCATAATTAGAGCAGGAATGATGTGATTAAATTTCAGCTTGAAGCTATTGTTTCCACCCCATAGCTTCTACATTCATTGTGCAGACATTAGATAAAAAAATCAAGAAGTCTCACTTCAGAACTCTTTTATTAGGCAGATATAAGACAGAACGTTGCTATCTTTTAACAGCTTTCAACTGTAATGACGATCTTTGTCTTCACAAGAAAAGTGACTTACTAGCATTTCAAAAGTGAAAAATAACTGGGGCAAAAAGTGACAAGGGAAACCACTTACACAAATATCTTTGGATTTTCAAAATTTGAAGGTAATTCTCATTTCTCCTCCGACTCCCTAAAGCTTAAGTCCTAGTTTGCTTCTATGCCGCGGTCATTTTTTGGCTTAAAAAAGAAAATATAGTGATCTGTAGTGTTTAGTGTATGGAAATATTCTAATTTCAGAAACAATTCTATGTTTTTGCACTATAGCTGTGTTCTAATGTGAGAGTTCAAAGGCTTTTTCATGAAACAAGTAAAACAAACTTTTTGTCATAGCTAGCAAGTCATGTTCTATACTCAAGATACCTGGAAAGGTGAACTTCAAAACAGTGAGAATAAGAAGCATTATTATAAACCAACAGAGTGAAGTTATAGCAGCTTTTCATTCCATCTGCTGACCTGTTCCTTGAGGTAATTGGAATAATTTGCATGTTGGCCAACATTGTTCGTTTGTTTTATAACAGTCACAAAAATATTTTTAGACACATCAACCATTCCATGTGTTATGCTCTTGATTGTTTTATGTATTACACCTATACATACTCTATGTGTAATTGCAGCTAATATTACTACGGTATTACCATGTATATATATAAATTTAACACTGATTACACACTGAACACACTTTGCAACATACAACATGAGACTAGGGAAGTGTTTAACTAGGTATGCCCAATAGGGCCACTAGCCTTTGGTAGAAATCTGCTTTGAAAGACAATACTGTTTTCATCCATGAAAGCTAGGGAGATGACAAAGGTGCTATAATCCCTGAAAGAGAAGGAGTTTGTCGTAATTCACCATTTTACACATAAAAAATAAAAGTAAAAATTTCCACTGCACTGTCCTCAACCTCCATCGTTCATGATTTGTGTTTCACAAGACAAAAACCTAACAGGGGTATTTTAGAAGCATGAAACACAAACTATTGGGCATACTGTATATGAATATTATAAATGTTTTTGGTCTTTAACGAACAACACTTTTCAATGTGTTCCGTGTTTCAAAATGAGAATTAATTACAGAAGACAAAATTACCAGCCGACAGGAGAAAAATGTACAGAGAGAAACGCAATTTCAAAAGAGACAAATGGAGGACTGTAAGATACATAGATTTTACTGTACCTGAAGCCACACTGCATTACCTAAATAATGTCTGAATCTTCTTTACACTATTTATATAAAAAAAACTAAAAAATATATGGCACATATTCACTACTCTATTGATTCTAGATTTTATTGTTCTAAATTATATCAGAGGGAAATTGACTCCTGCACCTGAACTGGAAACAGCTGTGGGGATTCAGTATTACTGCGTTTATAATATGATTGTTTTGTTAAAGGATTTTGAAGAATCTCTAAAATCAAACCTATAAAAGCAGAAATGTCAATGACAGTACATTTTTTTAACCATGCACCTTGGAGGTTACAATGTTTAAATGTCTGTGAACATAAAACTGCCAGAGCGAGCCTTATTTCGTTGGCACATTTACAGTATATCTCCAAGTATATCTCCAAGAAAACTACAAAATGTAGTTTCTCCTGTCATTTTACCTCATATCAGTTGTCTCCTGTTCCTGACACTCATCTATCCTCAATTTCATTTGCCAACCACACAGCCGGGCTTTGGCAAAGTACCATGCAAAAGGATTCAAACAGTTAATTGATCAACAGAGGGACATGCTTGGTTCTACCTAAAAATTGAGTTTTATGGAGGCATTCCTAGTATAAACACTTTCTACATTGTCATAATATTCTTAACACTTCTGTTCACAGCTTTGGCACAGCAGAAGCCAGTTTGAACGGCCTGTCTTCAATTTGCTTATTTTTCATTTTGTAAGTCTTTACCACATATGTTGCCCATTCTCTTTCTCATTCTCTTCCTTTTCCCTAGTGAAGCATGGGAGAGGGTGTACAGTAAGTCACTGCGAACCATTTTGGTGTTGTCGTTGTGGGTGGTGATGGTCGTCATGGCAAAAATGCTAGGCTCATCGTCTGTTGGTGTCATTTCAAGTCTGTTGTCGAAAATTTGGATTGACTCTTTGTTGTTGCTGTTTCATCTCCTCTCTGCAGAAACACTGGGAGGCCCCGGTCCCCCAGTATGAGCTCCGATGTCCCCCACTTGGCCTCAGGCTGCTGGTGTTGTTATGGAACTGGCGTCAGGCTGAGGGAATCTGTCTGAGGGTCTGGCATCGTTCTCTCTGGGCGCATACACACTGCCAGACGCTGAGAACACAAGGAGGAGTGAGGAGAATACAACTGGAAGAGTATGAACCCTGAACCTTCACAGCCAATTACAACATTAATGAACACTTGCAAACTGACTGTACCGTGGTAACTGAAAGACTAGAATGCATCAAGACAAGGCTTTGTGAGCTTTCTAGGTCAGTGAGTTTATGAAAGTGAAGCATGACATACCGGTTTCCATGAGCTAATTGAGCTCTCTAAGCAGATTTGCCACCAGGACTATTTTCTCTTTGATCCCTATTTTGTCATTCCATCATGACTGAAGGCAACCTAGGGGAGGGACTACAGCTTTTAGGGTAAGTAGCAAGATTGCAAGTGGTAAATGTCAAAGATTGTACACCCAGATTTGAATATCACAATGTTCAGCCTGGAAATATATCTGCATCCAAGGCAACACTGACTGGGAGGCAGCTCTGTCACAGAGAGGAAATAGATAACTTTATTAGGGCACATTAGACATCCTTTTATTTCTTGCCTGGTCTATGAACCATCCAATAATTTCTTCTCACAAATTTGACAAGGGATCTCAGCAGTCAGGGAGGACACAGTGCAGTAGTGGCATCTTTCTGTTCATCCACAGGGCACTGAGATTTGTGATGGCATTAGGAATTTCAAGGAGCTGAGCTCTTCAAACATATTCTTGTGTGAAGGAAGATGATCTGACCTGCTTTAGTGAGCCAGGGGTCCACACCAGCTTGTAGACCATGTACACAGGGATCCACATGAAGGAAGAGAAACCAATGATGTACCCAACAGTGATGCTCCAGTCCGGATACTTATAGTCAAAGAGGATGAGAGGGGGCTGATCCAACAGGAAGCTCACAATTATGTACTAACAGGGAACAAGAGGGACAAAGAGAGTGTCATTCAGAGCAAAGTCCGTTTCATATGGACATTATTTGACAATAAATCAAACTACACTCTACACAGGCAAAATGGGGGGAGACAAAATATAACTTCAATACAACAGCACAAAATGATGATGACACAGCTAGAATGGCCTTGCGTAGATGGATGATTTCCATCCTTATCCCCAGCTAAATCTCTTTGAATTAACCTGCAAAGCAAGCATTTTGATGCAAACAAATGCATCCAAAAAAGGGACAATTTAAACTAACCGTATCCAACCGTAGCCAACCAGTATATTACCCATGAATATCATCAATATTAAGAATACGTCTTGCTTCTGTTTCAAAACCCCCTTTTAAAAAAAAACAGTATGTTTTTCTTCCATTCTTCTCTGGTTTGAAAATGATCCAAAGTAACAAAATAACCGAAAAACCATTTATCTTTCAATGGGGTTCACAAAGAGCAAACAGGGGATTGGTAAATGTCACAGCTTTGAGCATTGAGAGCGCAGAGAGATTAGTGCAGATGTATTCAAAGTGATGGCAGGCACATTAAGCTATGCCGGCGAACAGATTGGCATTTGCCAAGGGGATTTGTAGGATATCTGTGGCAGATCGAGAGGAGACACGTGTCAGGGACTGGAGACGAGGCAAGAGGACGCTGACAAGCACTCATTCCACTGGCGCCTTCCTGCCTGATCTCCGAGGGCAGAACCCAAGCAAGCACGTGGCTTTACACAGCGGTGCCACACAAAAATGGGCACCTGAATTTGCACAAAACTACAAACAACTACACAATGGTGCAGACACAAATACACCAATGTCCACACCAACTAGCAAGCATGCCACGTTGTTCACCCTCATCAAAATGATTTTTATTTTACCTGTTTCACTTGAGCGTTCAAAATCAAATCAATTTGAATTCATTATAACCACAAAATGTAAATGATAATATTGCTTGTGTTTTCGTGTTTCTCTGCTTGTTGTTTTGGCAGACTTATAGCGAAGTACCCAACATTTGTCAGAAAGCAAATCCCTACACAAAAAATTGTTTTTTTTTACGCAAGTTATCTTTGTGGAAATGTGCCCTTCAACAAATTCCCATCAGATAAGTTAAATGCTAAAGATTCGGCCTTGCTTAATACAGCAAATAGAAATAACTTTGGCCTGAAACATTACATCAGCCCCTTTTTTCCTAGTTTAGATTATCTAAACAGTGGTCCAGCTTGCAATTGACTTAGGTTTTGAATAATGTTTACAACCACAAGCTAAAACAGGGCTTTTCTAACAACTGAATAAAAATGATACAGTTTAATATTTTTCTTTCTGAATTACCATCTCCCTACCAGTAGCGTTTACACACTCTGTTTTGTTTCCCACTAACACTTCATTGGCAATCAATGCAAAGTGCCTGAGCCCCAATTAACAAACAGCTGATTACTGTTCATCAATTAACCTGTTCTCAAGGCCATCGCCCACTGGCCTGAAGCTAATCAAATAGCTACCCTAAGATTTGTTCTTGGAAGAACTCCTTTACGTAATGTTATTACAACCAGTACTGACATTAAAGCATGTTTAAGTAATGGGCTTTGAAGCTCATTATGAAATTGCATGTGCCATCAATAGAGACACAACCTTCACTGTGTAGTACACTTAGCTACATTTGCTGAGATTAGAAAATGCAGCTCCTTGCTTTTATTAACTGAGCAGGTTGAGAGAGTAGGGGGAGCACTGGGATTGAGAGCTGACAGTGCCTGATTGAAATGCAAGTATTCATGTTTAAAAAACGACTGAAGTGGGGAAAAACAATGGGGGGAAACGTTAAATATTTTTCAGACTGTTATGCTATTTCTTAAAATTACACCTTTTGTTTGCAAGTGATTCTCCAGGAAAAAAAAAAGGTTTTGTTTAAGTGCAAATGTGAAAAGAATGCTTCTGACCTTAGGTCTCTGGGCATCCACCTTCATGTTAACTGTCTTATTAAAAACAGGTATTCTTGTTTTAAATAGAGATGGAAATGTTTTTTAATGGATACTATGAAGCAGGAGGCTTCAGGTTCTCATACAGTATCTCTCTTTTTAATGTCTACTTACTGCCAGAAAGGCAGGGCTGATAGCCACCCAGCAAACTTTCCAAAAGATTCCTGGAGTGAAGCCCAACATGGTTTTGATGTCATTGCAGAACCTCTGGATACCTATAAAGGGAAATAGAGAGGTGAGTCTGTTTTTTTAAATAGCTTTGACTGTTCTGTAGATTCAGCCTGTGCATATTAATTCATTGATTCACTAAGATCTGTTTTGTAAGCAGTGCGGATGTCCTGAATATTTTGCTTACCAACGATAACGACTTACCATAGAACCAGGACACAGCAATGGCCTCCAGAAAGCCAACAGCAATGATGGAGCAGCCCACACCAAACTCCTCCAGTAGTTTAACAACATATGCACCTCCCTGCAAGAAGAACACTCACTTTAAGAGTTCACCTCTCCTGGTACCAGTGAAAATGCTACATCTTTGAAATTGCTTCTGTACGGTGCAGGCAATGGCTTCATTCAACTCAGTACCTGCTCTACACTCATGATACAGAAAATGAAGTATCCTCTCATGAGAAGTCTTACACTCAATGAAATAATTAATACATTATTAAATTCTGACAGAGTCTGTTGTGTGACTGTTGAGAAATGTAATTTTTAATACAGGAATAATATGTTAACTAATAATATTCTTTTGACAATATTACCTAAAGTTCTACAATATATGAGCATATAAAGTAGCTGAACCTGGATGTTTTGCAAGCTGTATAGCTCAATGTGTTTACTTATTGTAGGTGCTACTGTAAAGCGTTTACAGAAGGTACACAAGTTGCTATTTTTACCATAATATTTTCAGCTCTCTACTTTCATTAATATGTAAATTACATGTAATTTGTATTGTTTTTGGCATGCAGGAACAGTATCATGCCACAGATCGTTTGCTTGAATTATAGCTTCAATACAATACTGTACCCTGACAAGAGCCAGTCCTAATAGAGAGAATCTGAACTGTGTGACCTGGGCGGCACAGTCTGATGAGGTAAACTCACATGGGTGAGAGTGCTGAGAGAGCCCAGAAAGCACACGATTACCAGCGCCAGCACAAACAGCTCCCGACGCTTGGACAAGTGCTGGGGATATTCATCCATAACCGCGGTGATGATGGCCTCCAGCCCACCAAACTGTAACACATACCCAGACATAACAGTTGTCACTACAACGCTACCCTCCAGCATTCCTCTGTCCTTTGTCATCCTCCTGGACTGTTCCCTCACCCAACCCCCCCAACAGCCCACAATGTTGAGCAAACCTCAATTCAAGACTCTACACTCACAGCACATTGAACATAGCCCACTAAACACTCCTATTGCAAACTGAGAAATGTACAGAATACTCAAAAACTGAAGTGCACTTAACACAACAGAACCTCCGTTAGACACCTGGACACCATCTGAAAAGTAAAAACTTTGATCCATCTACCAAACACAGTTTAAAAAACCTTGTGTTCAACATTCAGTTTGCTTTGGTTTTGAAGAAAGAGCAAAACATTTGAAACCAAGATCTTTTCTGTTCACAGCTTGTTGCCGAGATAGTTTTTTTTTTCATTTACTCAAGGTCTTAAGATTAGAAATGTATCGTACTAGTTTCAAAGTCCCAGATTAGAAATGGTCCTCTCTTTGTTTACCTAAAATAACGTTAGACAGTCCCGGCACTATCTACTGTTTAACTACAGCATAGAGTTTACTGAGCTAGCACAAGTCATCACAAACCCTCCGGCTTCATGTAATTAAGGTGAAATACAGAGATTTTACACGCGGATAAAAACTGGTGTAATGAGGAATGTTTGGGTTTGGGTACTTGCTCCTTATGGCAAAGCTGAGACCTGTACAAGTGCTACAAGCTGAATTTTTAACCAGAGGAGCACAGATATAACCGACAGGCTCATTCTTGGATTTCATTCAGAATGCATAATGTATTTGTAAGGCCTAATTATTATATTGTGTACATTTATATTTATACTATACAGAAAACAATCTGGAATTAGTACAGAGGAGTGCAGCTTGATACATTTTGGGGGTTAAGGGACTGTCCTACACTGACAGGCTAAGGGAGGTTTAGTTTCGAACAAAGAAGATTATGAAGGGAACAGATGCAAGTATTCGAAAGCATCAAAGGCACTGACACCGGCAACCCAGCTGGGTCGATCAGAATGAAAATGAACTAGAAACAGAAACCAGTGCACACAAGTGCAAACTACACAGACATAGACATGCATTTAAAACCAAGAACTGGAGGCACTTCTTTAGCCAAGGGTTGTGGGGTTATGGAACACGCTGCCCAGGTATGTTGTTGAAGCTGGTGCCCTGGCTTCTTTCAAGAAACGGCTGGATGAGACCCTCTGATCAATTTTCCACTCACTACCAACGACAAGGTGAGACTAATGGTCTCGTCTTGTTTCTGTGAGCTCCTGTGTTCTCATGTTCTTATGAACTGGTGTTCATGTATTACTGAAAGCTGTAGGAATTAATGATGCTCCACGATGCTGTTGTATAAGTCGGTAAGTGTATTAGGATGATAGAAAACATCCTGTTTGAGCAATGTGTCAAGTCCAAGTGCTGGAACCACTGCTCTTCTGCCTACTGTATATATGGATGATATTGATTTAGGTATTAGTAACAAGTTAGTTATATCTGATATTTGCTGAATATACAAAGCTTGGGGGAAAGGCCAACCATCAAGATACAATTAGGTCAATACAGGAGGATTCAGGTATAGAATTCAGTTAAATGCCAATTTTTTACCCATTTTATAAAATGTAGTTTTCAGTGCTGGGGATGCATTACTAGAGCATGTGGGGACATAAACACTGGGAACTGTGGGAACTGTCAAGTCTAGGCTGGATGTCATGAAAGCTTCACTCAGTGTCTTTGAAAATAAGCAGCACTGAAGGGCAGAATAGACTGTTTTTATTCTCATCTTTTCCTATGATCTTGTGTAAGGTTAGAGCTTCTTACAGAGAGGTTGTCACATACCGTGCTGTCGAGTCCAAGTGTGATCATCATCACGAAGAAGATGATGGCAAAAAACGTGGAACCCACCATGTTAGCAATGGCCTCTGGGTAGGTGATAAACAGCAGGCTGGGTCCTGTAGAGAACAATATCAGGAAAAAATGAGACGTGCTCTTTCCAAAATGAGTGTTGAATGTGAAGATAAGTTCAGACTACTTTTGCTGTTTCTAATGCTACTGGGACAACAAGCTTTGTTTTGACTAACTTAACATCCACTAGAAATAATAATGAAATAAGGAATGATCTTTTATTGAGAAAAATCCCATTTATGTTTTTTTTACTAAATCACTGTGCCATTTACAAGCAAAATTGTACTGAGAAATTATAATTATCATTCATGCCCCCTCAGAAGGGCACAGAAGATGAGACAAGCAAACCTTTATCTTTGGCCACATCTTCCACTTCAACATTTCTCATTTCTGCCATGTAGCCCAGGACCGTGAAGATGACAAACCCAGAGATGAAACTCGTCAGGCAGTTCACGAGGCTGGTCACGATGGCGTCACTGGTGCACACGCACACACACAAAGGGAGAACAGTGCTTTAGGAAAATACTTTTTGTGACTCAGAACATTTGAAAAAAGGCCATTGTTTCCCTTTTAAAAGGCAATATGTGAATAATGTCCCTCAAGCAAATTTGTTTCACCTGTGTAATATTGAAAGTTTTGTCAATGTTTCAGGCTGAAGATATCTGGCTCTGGCCTGGGGACATTGACCTGGTCTCCTGATCTGGCGTAAGAGAATATTAGAACATACACCTGCTATTGTACGTATAGAAGTAGAATGCGAATTCTTAAACCCCCATTCATGGTAATAAAATGGGTGGACTGGGACTATAAAAACCTCTGTAAAACTGTTGCAATTCAGGGCACTGTGGGATATACACCTTGTGTCTTCTTCAGTGTTATAAGAAAGTGGCCATTTCCATTTCAATTCAACTCATCTTAAACCTTCTATGGGCTGCACTGTGACTCCTCGCATCCCTACAAGGCGTAGCCCAGAAATGGCCGCATGTTTGTACAGATGCACACGGTGTTCACACGTAGTGAAAATGGAACTGATCAATCCTGATCCGGGTCGGTGAAACTCAGAAGAACACTGTTTCCATTTCATGTGAACCCCATGCATGGCACACAATGGCTAGCGGATGCATCCGGCACATGTCATCGTGCACGTGTCACATGCAGTCCATGCTCTGTCTGAGCGATTAAGATCAATATCGCAGAGGATTCAGTGCTGCGTAGCGTGTGAGCAGAGAAAATCTTTTCCAGACCACCCATTACGAGGAGACAGGCTTCCGATTCATTGATTTCTTTTTTAGCAGCCAATTGTGCTGATAGCTTCTCACGTGCTGGATTCCCATACCAATTACATTACCCTCAAGCTGTGATTTCACAACGTGGTGTTACAGAGATGTAGAATTCAATTTCGACCTATGAAGACCCTACTCCGCATTTGTCTTCTGTTCAGCTGGCGTCATTGCTTCCTTTTTTAATTGCATTTTCGAGAGAGTTTTTGGCTCCTAGCTCATCCGTTTTATGCTCTTAATCCTTTTTTTTATGTTTGCTTATTTTCTTTGCTTAATGCTGTTTACTCATCAGAGCTCAATGAGCTCTGGTCGTAGCCTGCATAATGAATGTGATGCTATTTAGAGACTATTGATGGAACACAAAATGATCCCCTAGAAAAGTAAAAAAAAAAACTCAGAAGTGGATGGATGATATCTACCTTAAGTACCTTTTGTAATTCATGCAGAGATACAATCCATCAGCTGTGCTTTATGTTCTCACCATGGTTGCTGACATTAGCCCATGATCATTGATTGACCAGTGCATGGCAGTTAAGGTGTTTTAAGTTTGAAGTAATCAGCTCTTGCCCCTCATGTGGCCTTACCGATAGCAGTTGTTGGTGAATGGGTTGTAGCTAGCCAAGGCAAGAAGCACCCCAAACCCAGGACCCAGTGAGAAGAAGATCTGGGCTGCTGCATCCACCCACACCTGCAGAAAACACCATAAATTGTTCCCAACATTGGACACTGCAGCTTGAAAGCTCGGGAAGACCAAAGCCTTTTCCCCAAATCATGCTCGTTTCTGGGAGTAAATCACCACCTTTATTTGTCTTGCCATATCGAAATGTGGTCTTTGGTCAACCCAAGAGGAAAATCTCCTCTCTGCTCTTGATGAACAGTAGCCCTCCTTCTACAAAGGCAACTTTTATTGCAAATGACTAGTCACTCCTGGCACCAAATTGTTTTTCTTCTTGAAGTTAAAATCAGAACACAACTGCTGGCGGGATGGTAAAAAGTGAAGTCCATACCAGGGCACGCAGCAGCTCATCGATACAGAGGTCATCCTGTTTTTTTAAGGTTAAGAGGACTAGACTGCATGTGACGGCCCACTCGATTGAGATGCCAAGGCAAGACAGCAGAGACGAAAACTCATCTCTGTGTAGAAGTGTAGTGTTGCAGAGGTCTTTAGCTTGCTGCACTGTCCTCTCTTTGGTTTTGTGAGCATCTTTCATTATTTGTTCTTTATCACTTAGTGTGATATCACTTTAAAGCATTGCGTGTGTTTAAGATTATCCATCTTGTAGTATAGCAGAACATATTATGTGACCCAGTTCCTTCTTCAGTCTCCGGCAAGTTGAGTTACATACGTCTTCTTCAGAAAGATATGTATGAACATGGGCTACCCCTGAGGGAACACGCAAGGGGAGTCCCCTACTAAATATACTAAATATCAAAATATTTATGTGTGATTAAGACCTAAAAGAAAATATATCAGGAAACAAACACTGGGATATTATTTTGTACTGATACTTTTAACAGAAAAAAATGCAATGTCACTGTGGTAAGACTACTGAACCTGTGGCACTACAAATTCCAGAAAATGAAAGTGATAAATTTTAAATGTTATAGCATCATAAGCATGTAGTGTACCGTTGTGGGTGGTACGATACAATCTGTTAGATGGGTCTATTCCAATTAACCTGTTGCTCTCATTTTTCGACACACTCTACAGTACTCCAATGCTTATAAATTTGAACTTATTCTTTCACTTTTCATTGCATTTAATACAGGTTTGTAGGCATCTGTTGCATTATGAGAGCAACGACAAAAGAGTGGGGTCCTCTCTATCAAACCTTTTTTCCACAGGTTCAGTGTGCACAAAAGAGATAGGACTCGGCTTTATTGAAACCTGTTATAGTAACTAGAATACAATGCTGGCCTCATTCTTCTATTATGAAGTCTAAGAGCTTTCCCAGGGCCTTGTTCAGACCGAGAGATCTGAAGAGTAACGAGTTGATTATTCCGCAATGGAAAGATAGAGAGAGGAGCTCTTCTTAATGGAAATTTCTAACAAAATTACGCATCTCATTAGTAGCTCTGGTTTTTATGCATCTCATCTATGTCTGTTTTTAAAGAGCAACACACATTAAGAAAATCACTATCAGTGTACGAGCACTTTCTTCTCTAGATAGATGGAGAATACAAATATGGAGTTTTGTGACACAACGTAAATGAACTGTCTGTGTTCTTGATTGAAAACCCAAACATATCTCTTCTGTTGTGGTTTCAGGATGTGTTATGTGATGATGTGCATTAGATCTGGCTATTGCAGAAGTCCCTTCAAAGCTTTCACCCATTGTTTTAAATCCTGAACCTCATCTTTAACCAATCTTTGCATTTTAAATGAATCACAGAAAAGTGCTTCCCTCCCTTAAAAGAGGAATAACTAACAGCATGTGAATTTTGAAAACAAGAAGGATTTTAACTACTTAAAGTGGATTGAGGATGGACCTTTTCTACAAAGTTCTATCCAAGAAAAAGAACTGTATGATCATCTAAAGTGAGTTGTTGTGTGTCAAATCCCTGATTAAACAGCTAATTTGACAAAACATTTGTAGGAACATATTGCGCTGCCAAGCTCTCAGGAAGGAAGACACCCGGTGTTCAGTTACTCACAGTGGTCTCCAGGAGTTTCTCCCACTTGGGTTTGAGGTAGAAGACCACGCCCCTCCAGGCCCCGGGCAGGGTGGCTCCCCGGATCAGCAGGATGAAGAGCACCACGTAGGGCAGTGTCGCCGTCACCCACACCACCTGGCATCATGGGAGGAGAGGGACTAAATGCAGGAGTAGGCCACCTTGGCAGTTTTCTCCCTAACCATTCCATCCCGTGATATTTAGTTCTAGCCGTAGTGAAATCAGTGACTTGTCAGAAGAAGGTTGGAATCTGGAATTAAAAGCCCTTTATGGGACTGACGCCCTGCATGAATTCCTGAAATGGAATAGAAGTAGCAAGGTTTCCTTCAAGGCCAGAAATGCTAGGTGTTGAGGCCATCCATGTGAAAAGTTAGATAAGAGCTCAATCCCTAACAACAATTTAATAATAATAATTCCTTACACTTATATAGAGCTTTTCTGGGCACTCCATTCAAAGCACTTTACAAGTAATGGGGATCCCCTCCACCACCACCAGTGTGCAGCCCCACCTGGATGATGCGACAGCAGCCAGAGTGTGCCAGTCCGCTCCCCACACGCCAGAGGGGGAGGAGAACAGAGTGATGAAGCCAGTTCAGAGATGGGGATTATTAGGAGGCCATGATTGGTAAAGGCCAATGAGAAATTTGGCCAGGACGCCGGGTTACACCCCTACTCTTTTTGAGAAACACCCTGGGATTTTTAATGACCACAGAGAGTTAGGACCTTGGTTTTACATCTCATCCGAAGGATGGCACCTTCTTACAGTATAGTGTCCGTGTGACTACACTGGGGCATTAGGACGCACACAGCATCCATACCTAAAGAATTCATGAGAGCTGGACAAGCAATGCAGAGAACAAGAAGATACTACCAGAGACAAGCTGTGGGAGGAATGCAAAAGAACATAGAGTATGGATTTCCTTTCTGTACACCTCTAACATGCACAAAGAGTATGGAAACATATAGACCATATCTTCATGTTCATGACATGCCTGCACCACCAGAACTCTTTCCCATGAGTACTTACTTTGCTACAGGCCTCACCAGGGCGATCTGAAACTAAATGCTGTTTAAATACGGAGATTTGCCTGTAAGCCTTACCTTCCCTGAGGTCTTGACCCCTTTCCAGAGGCTGAAGTAGACAATGGTGAAGATGAGGAAGAGGCAGAGCAGGAGCTGCCAGCGGATCCCTCCAACATTGCATAACCCCGTGGACTTGTGGATCTCCAGCACGTTCCTCCTGTGGGAGCCATTTGGGAAAAAGAGGACTCTGCTTCTCAAAACCTATTGGCTGCAGCTGAGACAGGCTGACCAGCCACATGGATAACAGGGTAGATAGATAACTCCCACTGTTTTGTGGGATCATGTTGCGTCTACTCAGAACTGGTAATGACTGCCAGAACAACACATGCAAACTGTAACAGAGAGCGAAATGCTTACCATCTGTGAAGACCTGCCGGCGTGACATCCCGATAAAGCTGTTCAAAAAAGTTGCTTGTCCCCTATTTAACCCCAGTTATAACACTGGGATGTTTTGTCTGTGCCCCACAGCCAGCCACCCTCCACACCAGCCACTTACATGCACTTACGTATAAAACTCCTCAGCTGGAGACCTGGAGAAGTTGGTCCAGGTGATGTTGCTCTTTCCGAAGTAGTTGGTGCAGTTGGCTGTGTTCCAGGGGTTATCGCAGTGGGTCCAAGGCAGTGTGCTGGTGAAGGAGGAGTAGAAGTAGTAGAGGGCCCAGGCTATGATAGTGTTGTAGTAGAAGGACACGTACAGGGCGATGATGCAGATTGCGAAGCCGATCCCTGTATCACACAAAGCCAACACAGCACAGTGTACTGCAGATCAGCTAGGAAGACTAAGCAGTTCATTTTCCTGCTTGCTGGCTAGAATGCAGGTCTGCATGATCATTTGCAATAACAGTGTTTAAAATTTACTTCATCCTAAGAAATACCCACAATGCAGCAGGCAGTTCTGGGTAAAAAATCTATAACAGTTTGAAATGGAAAATATTTGAGAGGCTACCATATCTCAATAGACTATATTATATAGCACACAGTCCAGGGACAACCTTAGTGGACCTGTCTGACCATGATCAGTTATAAAAAAAACATAATTAAGTGTATTAATGCCAGTAGACACCGTGTACCTTTGAAAATAGGACAGATGTGTTTCCAGATGGAAATAGCTCCAGTCCTGTGAAACTGCCCCAGTGCCAGTTCCATGTAAAAAAGTGGTACCCCTCCAAAAATGGCCATCAGGATGTAGGGAATGAGAAAAGCACCTTTAATAGATGAGGCAGAGCAACAGTTTAAGTCAGTTTTGACAACATGTTTTATTCCTGTAAGAAGTCAAGGGTGGTGAAGCCTTACTTAGACATTGACTTTTCCACCTTGATCATAATGACAGAGGCCTATGGTACTGCCATGGGTTAACACTCAAAACTGTCATTTCATCTTTTGTGAATGCTCTAATGACTTATAATGCAACATTCTTTATATCAGTAATGTGTTTAAGACATTCTTACAGAAGAAGCAGGAATTATTTGAGAGACAGTGTTTGGGTTTGTACATAGGGGAATGCTGTTCTGTCATAGTCGCAACTTCAGTTGAAAAGTTCCTTTTTAATTTTTCTTGGTTTTTATTCTTGCACGGTTGGTTGAGATAGCAAAGGAGGCCTGAAGAACAAGTGTTTTTTTTTCTGGAGATGGAGTAGACCCATCAGTGGTATCCTGGTTTAATCAACCTGGTTTCACCTAGAAGGTTTTCTTCAAAGTCATGGTCTGCTACTCTGCTACGGTTGGCAGTCTGTTAACCAGCCCGAAACGACAGGCTTGTTCAGACATTCATGTTCATCAACAGTTTTGCTGTTGATAATCCCAGCCAAAGCCCTCTTCGCAATACACATAGTCGTATTAGATCCTGGCTATATTTAACTCTCGAAAGCATTTCAAAATACAGTAGGGAAGAAAACATTTTATACATGTACGTTTCTGGCACGTCATGCATGGGTTAGAATGCTGCTGCTTAGTGTGCATTCTGGGAACTTCAGAACAGACGTACAGCCCTTGTAAATGGACTTTCGGAACCAGGTCTGAAGCAAATATAAGTCTATATTTAGACTTTATATTTATATATCTATAAATATAAGTCGTTTTATTGCTTTTTTTTCGTAATGTTTTATGGCCTCATGTGCTAACAGGTCCCATCTTTTTGAGCATGCTAAAAGAAAGCATTTCTACAACCAGTATGACATAGTTGGAAAGTATGAATTTTTTATATTTTAAAATAAAAGAGTACCCCTAGTAGCTGATAGTCTTTAACAAATTTTTGTATAAGAGGCCTGTTAAGTACTTTGAGACCCACCAGTTCTGCTTATTGTGCAAGGTCACTCTTGAAAAATAATTGTATGGACCGATGAAAGATCTCTGATCTGTTTTTCTCACCCCTGCTGGCATATATAACTAGACTTTTAGCTTCAACTTAAAGTGCCCACTGCATTCATAATATCGCTGGCTTCTTCGTTTTTTCAAAGAAGGTTAATCTATCCGCTGATGCTAAGGGTGTTCTAGAAATAGCGGCCCATATATCAAGTGTGTCTCTCTTGCAAAACATCCGGTCCTCTGAAAGTGTACAATCAAAGCACCTTATGTTTCACGGTAATCAGCCTCTCAGTTCATCCATATACAGTACGATTTTATTATTGTCACTTAACGTGGTGCAAGCGTCAAATTCTGTCACGCACATTAGACCAAAGAATACTGATTTTCCCTGTATATATTTCCGTTACATCTTGACAGGACATCAAAATTAAACGACTAACAGCTATGGTAAAGAATATGAATAATTCAATTGTATCTGCCTTCCATAGCCTTTCTATCTCATCTCAGTAGCTTCTGACTCACGTTTGTGTTTGCTAGGAAATTTGCAGTACTACACCATCGTTGTTCAAACGGGCAACTTGGCAGGTAAAAAGCGCTGTGGGCTCAGATGCAGTGGTTAGTCATTTCAAACGATGCCTGCAACGCACTCGATACTTCAAATGCCAGAACAAAACAGTTGCAGGGATGGTAAGATACGTTGCTCTTCTTTCAGGGTACCATATCTTTCAATATCCCTTGACTGCCTCTTGAATCAGACTGTTTAAGTCTGTAACACTTCTGGGAGAGTTTCAGTACCTCAAGCGAGTCTAGAATCATTGGAAGGGTCCAATGAGTAGATTAAATAGCTCCTTATACAGTATAAAGGATTCCACTGCAGTTTCTCTCAGCTGGATGGAATTGGCAGAGCTTAGCAACAAGTGTAACAGTCATGGAGAAACTTTAGTTTTCACCTGTAGTGACCACCTAGGCTACACCTCATAAAAAACCTGACCTCTAACTAGGAAAGGTAGCCTGCTTACAAGGTGAGCTTCTACAGTTACTGAAGTGTGGTTAGAAGGTAAAACATAAGTATTCATATTTGCAAATCCAAGAATAAAACAATATCTCAGAAAACAGGGTATCTGTGCCATGTGGTTAATAAATGTTAACAACCTTCTCACCACCATCTTGAATAAAACATAGATATGACCACATAATTATGATGGTATTTTAAATACTACCACATTTGCTGCGTGATTCCTAGTGGGTAAATATTTAATTTAAAATTTGACAGCGCTAAGACGACAAAAGCGGTTTGACCTTTAGTTCTCTTTTGTTCAAGTGTATCATGGCACTGTTTTTCAAATCTTTTTCATGCATGATTTTTGTATAATGTTCGAGTTAGCGTTAGTTTTTAGCAGAACCAGTGTCATAAGAATATCTATGAATCAGGGGAGTGCTCAGTTGATAAGATTTTTAATTACCTTAAGCATAAGACCATGCTGTTTGCGTTACAGGACATTTAATAGTTGGGGAAATTTTAGATAAATGTTGTAGGTTGTTTCAAATTCAAGGTAAGGGAAACTTAAGTTTTAACTTTTCCCCATCGGTGTGGAAAGCATTGTACACAATTGTACATACAGTATCACCCTGCTACTGTGTGTAAATAAAAGATGAGCATTTTGGGCTGTAGGCAATATAGAATCGTAAATTGTAGTTATACCACTAAAAATTAAACTTTCACACTAGGATAGCGCTGTGTAATTTGTTAAGAGCGAGAATCAGAAAGTTGCAGTACTTTTTAAGCACTCAAGAGGTAAACCAAACCCATTTTACAATTATGATGGTTATGATGCTTATTCATATATTATTGGGAGGCTTTAAATAAAAGAGTTTGGTATCATAGAAGAAACAGTAGTTAAAGCTCGTGCCTTTGAGCATGATAAAAGATAAGGTATTGATAATGCCGACAATATAACAAATATACGTTTCCATCATTGCTATTTTCATTTTAATTAATTCGGTTAATTAATAAAATCAGTTAATTCATATATTAATTCTAAAGAAAACCTGCGTGACAGTACGTAAAGGGAGTAAAAATAGAATGACGAATGTGTAGTATTGACAGGATACCTGGTTTGAAAACAAGATTGACATCACTTGTAATATTATGTTGTTAAAATTGTGTCGTAGTCCACAATTGTGTTGTGTTGTAGTATATCTGTATAACTTAAATCAGACATGTTTTGTTTGATGGATTTTCGAAGGAATACTTATTTTATCCGTTATTGTTTTAATTTAGTATGTCTGTAAAGCACAACTTAACACAAAATCACTTCCTATGAATGAACATTTACAATTGTACTGTCCTCAGTGCTCTTTGTTAACTCATGAAAGATAAGCACAATAATAAAAAATCTAAATATGTGTTTTTATTTGGATATTCGGAAAACATTGACGAAGACAGGTAAAAAAAAAGTTGTCGTCCTGAAAAATAATGTTACATCCCTGTAGATAATTGTTTTTATACAGTTTTGCTTTTTGGAATATTTACTTGGCATCATTTAAATCTTGGAAAGATAATATTGAAAACCGATAGTTCATTTTAATATAGAAAATTACACATTTCTAATAATGTCGACCTGTTTTTACAGTCTTCCAAGTAATAATATTTAAGTTCTAACATTGTAATAAGAGTATGCGGAGAAATTAAACTTTTCCACGCATAACAGTGTATTCCGTGTGTGAATATTTCAATACAAGTTAACTTATATGCTGCTTCATATAGATGCTAGTTTGTTCTAAACACCTATAAAGACAGTCATCGGCTATGCTTTATAGTGTAATCATTTTTAAACGCGATATATTTAGTCCATTACTTAGTATTTGTTTTATTGAAGGAAATGAAGTGATTACATCCTGATGCAAGTTTTACTCAGATCATTTGCTTTCCTGTGCCAGTCGCAGTCACGTTAATCACCATGGACAGCTCAATTTGTGCTAAACTGAGTGCTTTGCATTAGGAAAAGGTGTAAAAAAATAACATCTCTGGAAACGTATATATCCGAAGGGATTCAAATACAATTCAAAATGTGTTTGCAAATTGATATACATATTATTTAAATACCTTTTCACAAAACGTTTTGCTATGCTCTCCACTTTGAACAGTTTTCCAAACCTGCTAATAAGGAGTGAATTTGATGTTCAGAATCCATAAAATAATTCTGCCACTAAAATGTGATAGCGGTTTTTTATTATGACTATATTGATTCATGCATTATACTGTATATCTCGATATATTAAGACTGACACATGTGGGTGTTATTGTATCATATCATTATGATTGACAAATCATATGAAACCAAAGACTTCTGTCAGCTAAAAGTAATCCTTGTTACAACTTCTTATAATGTGCCTAATTCTTACCGCCTCCGTTTTGGTAGCAGATATACGGAAACCTCCACACATTCCCAAGATCCACGGCAAAGCCAATCACGGATAAAAGAAAATCCATCTTTTTACTCCATTTATCTCTGGAATCTGTTTGTGTGATCATCGGCACAGGGTTGGTGTTGTAGCCGGCGTTTGCAGTGCTCTGGCCGGTTAGGCTGGACGTTGGAGCCGATGAATCTTGGTGGGACATCTTGTTGGCCGGTAAAATATAAAAAAGTGAATGCCCTGTCAAGAGACGCAAGCCTGAAGAAATTGACGAAGAGAAAAAAGGGAAGAGGGTTTTCTTACTGCTTGCGATGACAGGTTGAGTAGGAGGAGGGACGCGTACTTCTGAGCAGGCTTCTCAGATGATGAGAGACCAACTCTCGCAAGACAGTTAGCTGAGATCAATAGAGCAGAGAAGGCGGCGAAGGGGGATATAGCTCACACCTGGACAGTCACAGCGAAAATACCGCTCTCTGCTCATACCTGCACCACTCACAGGATCTGCCAGCTGCTATAGTTTATCGTTAGAGGAACCATTAAACCCGAATTAGTTCAACTTTACAAAAAAACACAACATTCTTTACTTTCGTCAATTCTTGTAAGATTTCATGCTAGAGGGGAAAAAAATATGAATGAGTAACTGCCCAAAGTTTATAATGAATACGGACAGCCCATTTCAAAATAGATCTTATAAAGACCAAATGGGAGGGATCGTTACTAAAAGAATAATGTACTAAAAAGTCTTCTTGTACCAATTACAATTCATGCTCTAAACAGTGTTAAAGTTTCCTGACAGCATCCTTCCCCATAAATGTGTACTTATGCAGAACTGCATTCTATTCACGTTATCAGTACCTCCAGAGGTTTTCTGAGGTTTTCATAATGTCTAGTGTCATAATAAATTCTTACTGTTCAGGGCTTAGACTGATTGTAATATGTTTTCTTTGTACTGCAGGTTTTTTTTAACTTTTATAGTTTTAATCTCGGACTTGTTCGGGCACCTGAAAAGTATCAACACCCATATACCAGCAGCTCAATAGAGAAAAAAAAAAACATCTGGTCAAGGGAAGTATAGCAGCAAAGAACCTGGGAAAAACACAGGCTCTTTCTTTGAGCGCTTTTTTGCGCAAGGACAGCTTTCCAAAATACTCTGTGATACAGTATGTACTTATCAGAATTAGGTCACAGTTGCAGCATGCTAGGAGAATGTATTGACTTTTGAGACATACAATACCGTAGTCCAAAAACTTAAAAAAGAGTGCACCAAAGCGTCTATGTTAATCACTTTTAAAAGTAAAGGCTTGTCTTACAAAACACGTCTATATAGATCAAAACAAACACTAGGCAGTTCAGTAAAATTCTGAACATTGCTGAACTGTAATATATCACAAGACGAAGAGCATAATCGAATTGGCAGTTTTATGTGCGCAGTGCTTAGCTTTTTAAGCTAGCTTGTTTCGTAACTTTACCTAATCGGTCATTAAAAAAATAAGAACAAAAAACAGATGTAGGGAGGTTGCCTTGAGCCTCGTTGCGTATTTAACAAGTCTCCTAGGTAATGTGACGTAAATGGGCTATTAGACCCAAGGCGTGCTGTTTGAGCACCTGGCAGGCGGGCTGAGTTAGAGGGACCCTTCGCCGGCGACGCCAGCGACAACACAACCGTACTGAAGCGCATAGGCGCCGATTCCAGCTGCCCGCTGGTACCGTACCTGCGGGCAGGTCCCCCCGGCCTGGTACACCTGGAGACCCGAGGGAACAAATCTGCCCTGGAATTGGGAGTAAAGGCCACAACTCTTCGCTCATTTTCATGTTTTCGCAGGAAACACACCCTTAAGTCATATTGCTTTGCTCCCCGGATATCACTGTTTATAAGGACCGAGGTAATCAACCAAATGCATTGATTTTGATTGGCTGATTTTGATTGTTCTGCCTTTGTTTCTCAGTTTCTGTCCTTGATGTTGTAAATCATAACACAAATCAGGATTAATCAGTCTCGAAGGACATGGAATGATCAAGGTGGCCCTGCTGAGGAAGAATTACAGATTTAAGGTGTGTCTGGGTGCATGTACAGTAAGCGTGTGAGTGAGGTGGTTTTTAAATCTAATAAAATATAAAACAATCACTGAAAACAATGCTGAACGAAATGGAGGAGTGCCTAGCATTTCTGAAATATGAGCCAGGGGTACTGATGGTCACTGATTGAGGACTGTGTAACAAAAGCTCCAGGTTCTGCCATGGTAACTGAGAAAAGCTGAGCTCTCTCCTCCCATTCACTCCAAAGACACACAATTGCCGCACTGCATTACAAAAGGCCATACGAATTTGCGGGTCTGCCTACTTCACAAGAGATCGTCTTAATTATTGAATTTATGTTTCACTGTTTTCCTGTTTTCCTGCACAGGAACTACAGGAAGTTTACTTTGGCAAATAACACAAAGAATTAAAAAATGATGGATTCTATCAAGAGAACAACACCCATTTCACACAATCAGTCCCGAATTGGAAGATACTGTATGGAATGAACTTGCTGTGTTGTCTAATTCACAAAAAAAAATAAATGCGGAGACAACAAATGTGAATTGGACTGTCCGGCTCCTGTGGATCACAACTCTATAATGTGATTCTTTGACTTCATAATGTGCAGTAAAGCTTTCCGTAATACAAATGCTGTATTAATAATAGAGATCAGGAGCACATTCTCCCTTGGATGCACCTCTCTTCTTAAGGAATTACTGCAGTGTACAGTATGTTCATTTTTCTCCCTTTTCCTAATTAGTATGGTGTAAATCTGCAATACCTAGAGCACATATTCTCTCTGAAGTCCTCTGTGCAACTTTTCCTTTCCTGCACCTCTATTTGAATGGCAAAAAAGAAGGATTTTTGAGGCACCTGCAAAGGCCGACTCAGAGCATTGAAGGACTTCAGCTTTCTAACCCTGCGCGTTCCTGTTTTGGATCTGGAAGTGACCATGCTGTAGTGGTGATTGGGCCTAATTCATTTTATTAGAAAATGCATTAAAAACGAGGTGGTAACAGAACCCCACTCCTTTTAGTGCGAAATGATTACCCAAAGTGTTTTGGGCACCCTCAAATTGAATATCACAAATGCCATAATCCAACAAGCCCAAGAGCCTACAGTCCAGGTAATCAGGTTAAGTGTGTAAGTGAATAGGACAACAAAGAGGAAAAAGTCATGAAAGAAAGTCATGCTCTCCACTTAAAAGGAAGTGACAGATCGCAAGGTTATAACTATCTGAAACAGCTTTTCAGCTGAAGTGAAATTCTATATTAGACTGGGGGAAGGGGCTGTATCCTGAAACTCAAACCATATAAATAGAAAATTGAATTTTATTGTTCTAATTTTAATAGACAACCCCTTCCAACTGGCAGAAATAAGAGACAGAATGATAGGTGTTCAACATATTTGAGGCTCAGAAGATTAAAAACTAAAACCCAAATTAAAAGCTTGAAGCAACTGACTTTAACAGAGACAGAGATTATGATCTGATTCTGCTGTGAGAGAAGTGCTTTCTTACATTTTGGCCCTGTTTTGAGAAGTTGGTGGGAAGAACAAAAGTAAATTGATTTAATCATGTTGTATAGTGAAAAGGGAATAAAGGGATCTTAAAGAATGCAAGGGATAAATACATTTAATTCAGAGTGAATGCAATACCGTAGAATACTATTCAATATTATGGTAATGTCTGGATTACAACAGAAAGTGAAAAAACAATGATTTTCCACTTGTATATCATTGAAGATGATAACTGATGCTCAAATTGCAGTTATACATCAGGGTTACTGCAGTTTCCACAACCTGGCTAGTATTTTTGTGATATGGTGACATTAATGAAATGATCTTATACTGTATGTTTATACCATACTTATTCCCCAACGTTCAAAAAAAGATAAATGACAAAAGATCATTTCTGTTTCCAAGGAACCGGATGCACCGGTTTCGTGATAATGTCCTCTGTTCTTCTGGATATAGAGCAAGTGAAATACAGAGGATGTGTTTCAGGCTGACCGGAGCTCCTTCAGTCCGCACTGTATGGTCAGCCCAGCCTGAGCCAGACCAACAGGTTGCTGTATCAGTCAAGGAAAACAAAAAGACCACCGGGGAGAGCAGAGGCCTGGGGGCAAACACAGCAAACTGCCTCCCTAACCCGACTCTGTTGATTCTTTCAATATAGTTAATGTTTCAGAAATTTGCAGTCTTGTCAATCTGCTACAGTGACTTTAAGCAAAATAACATCAGACTGACAGGTCTCAGTCACGTGTCCAGGATACCTATTAGCATCTGTCAGATCTCATCACTCACATTCCTGGATTTTGAAACTTCAACTGGGAAACTATCTAGGTGTTGTCTATTGCAAGATATAGGCCAGGTTTAGTATAATAACTATTAATATAACATTGTGTTTTATCTTTCATGTATAAAACACTTTTCTCACCTTTTTGTACTGTATATTTATCTTTTCAAATTTTAATAGTATTAGTAAGTGATAAAATTCACAGTAAATCATATACTTCTACGTTTACTAATTAGCACTGGGAATTCATATAACATCTTTGCATTACTGACGTTAATTTCATGATGGATATTTTCAGCATATTGTAAATGAAATCAGAATGGAAACAAGTTTTTTTTTTAAATATGCTGTCTTACTGTTTTTAACAGAGTAGTTGTTCACCCAGTGATGAGCTGTCAAAGGTGCAGTATTTCTTAAATTAGACAGTAGAAGTATCCTCCTTCTCAGATGAAAAGCAAATTATGGTGTACAGGATTACATTATATACAACACAGAGCACAGTCTCAGCATCTACAAGATCATGATAACATGAGTGGACCTTAATATAATATAGATCTCAATATAAAATTAAGAAATATAAGAGGAAGATGTGGAATGAACTAAGAAAATCACCTAGACTTCCACAAAAAGATTTAGCAAAGGATGTGGCTTAGAAATATAGCACTTACATGTTGATTTTTCTATGAACTATCTCTGTTCGACTTCCGATGAAGTTCTAAAGTACTAAAGTACTAGTGTCATGTTTACTCGGGGGGGTGCAGAGCATGGGAGGGAGGTATGTCATTGGAGGCCACACAGCTCTTAATAAATGGACAGTTCTGTGATGACCAAGGGAGTTCCTTGGCTAACAGAGGTGATCTCACAGCCAAAAACAGGAGAAGAAAACCATAAAATCAGCTGAAGCAGTCTAGCCAAAGCTTCATTAACCTTGAGATCTGAAAATGGTCTCATATACCCCATAACCTCTTTTGGTTTCCTCCCGGGAAAGTGTTTTTTAGAAAAGAGAAATCAATGCAGATTAAATGACGCATATTTAACCTTCAACACCTTGTGAATTCACTTAATAAGATGGATGAACTGGACACATGCAGTAAAGAATGATCATTTT